ATCACAAATATTGCAATATATTCCCAGATACTTCCATCTTTGTTACAACCATCAATTGCTAAAGTTTTTTCTATGTTAACGTATTATTGCGAATACTATAAAACTATTAGGTGGGCCGCACACTAAGAGTGGGAAGCAAGAGGCATATTGAAGGCTAATTCCCATATGAAATTCGTGTATGCTTCTTAATTGCATTAAGATGTGCACATCACCTCTGCGCATTCTGTTGCAAAAGTATGAGAATTAATTTTCCATATGTTTTGGTCGTGAAGTTTATCTGGTTATTGAAAAAAAAAATACTGCTAAAGTTATAAGTAAGGCTACTAAAAATAATTAGCCTTACTTGAAACTTTAGATTCTTTGCTTATCGAAACAAAGCTCTATGAATTTTTATAATTTTGATGAATGTTATGTGTATATTTTTCAATCAATCTTAATGTTTATATTTTTTTTCCACTTCTTAGATCAACCTCCTACTTTGATTGGTAACGCAAGACCTCAAAGCCGTATTTGTTTTGTCCATTTCCATGATGAATCTCTTTACCACTTATACCCAACCTAAAATACGTATACAGTCATAGTTGAAGAGTTGAGTGGATGAAGGTTCTAATTGACATTTACATGGAATTTAAGCTAATTAGCTTCTAAATTTGTAGGTTGTGTTGCCAATAAGAAATTAAGATTATGCTTTCTCTTCATTTCTTGACCGCATGCTTCCAATAGATGAAATCTACAAATCCTTCATTCGTTTAAACTGTTCGTCAATAACGGTCTGATTCTTAGCATTTTAAATAACAACCAAAAAGAGAGTATTTATTCTTAGACTTACTTATTGCAAAATGCACTTGGAACTAATACTGCTACTTTAACTCACTGAGGTCTACGAATTTAGAGTCGCATAATGCGAAAATGAGATCCACCTTGAGCTTGAGAAATCTAAATGTTTTCAAAAATGTCAATTAGAACCATTTTCCACCAGGTTCTTTTATTAGTTTGCGTATGTTATAACAATGCCACCAGGATTTAAAGAAACTCAGCTGAAGTGGTATTTGAATGCAAAAATGAACTGTGGAACAAACTTTATAGCTTGAATTTCACCACCATTTGTTAGATGAATTTAAGATATTTTATCAGTACATTTTATGTAACCAATGATTTTATGGTAAGCAAAGAATCATCATGACAAAAAAAAGTTTTTTTCAATCCTTTACGTACTTGTTCTGATGCGCAACTGGTTTGCACAAGTTAAAAAATATTTTTAACAAATGATTTTATATAAAGCTATTAAAAGAAGAATTAAGACAACATACATATCTTTGAATCCTTCCACTACATATTTTTTAAGAAACACTGGTTGTTGATTTCGATTCCAGTTTACAAGTATTTGATTGATTTTATAATGAATCATCAAATCTGAAAAACCAAATTAAAGTTTTGTTTACAAGGTAGGTAGGTACTTTATTGACGTCGCACCAGAGCTGTACAATGGGTATTGGCAACGGTCTGGGAAATATCCCTGAGGTTAATCCAAATATATGCCATCACAGTTCGTGAGGCCACTTCCTCAATTTAAATATAGTTCTGAAAGAAGTTTTCTCCAGACCTCTGTACCCATGGCACTGCTCAGCGACTGACCACAGGGCTTTCGATTCCACATATTTTACGAGCACGTATATCGCATGTAGTTGATGAGTCTTAGCCGAGCTCGATTCTCATGCCACTAGGCTACCCTACCCCAACATTTTGTACAAGGAGGAAAACATGGATTGAATCCTTGTCGCTTTCATGTTCTGAACAGCCGATCATTGCTGTTGTAAAGTAAATTTAATAAATGAATTTATGAAATTTTATTAAAAAAGAGCATTGAATATTTTATGAATTATTTTTAAAAAGACTTTATATTTTCAAAATCATCCACCACTTGTTGTGAACTACAATTGATAATTATATATTTTAATCCACGTTGAAAGTAATATTATATACAATCTTTACACTATCAACAATCTTTATAGAAATGAGAAGGGGGAAAAGTTTTTAAAAGATAATATATATGAAATTTATATTGCATGCTCTAACCCAATTTGATAATTGTCAACTGCTTATTGAACTTAATTTTTTAAATGTAAAAAAAAAATGTCATTAAGTGTTGGTAATGTGATAAAGTGTTGTGATAAGTGTCAAAAATGTATACATTTTTATGAAAATAAATGAATTCACTATTATAATGTCTTCTTACAATTCTTGTAAGCACGGTTGACTTGGATCAAATATGTAACGTTGGGTTCGATCCCCAGTGGCGGCATGAAGTCCACCCAGCTTATGATCGATGGGTACCAGTCTGTTTGGGAAGTATAAACGGCCTGTATGCAGTGCTGACCACATTGCCACAATCATGCAGTTAGTCACAAAATTGTGGAGCCTTAATCTCTATGACCCCTCCCCCAGCCCACAACGGGCTGTTGCGGAATGCTTTTCTTTACTTTCAAAATACACATAGATTGGTACATTGCAAAAAGAGCGCGACGAGTCTTAGTACGCTAACCCCAGTATGACCCGACTAACCAGAGTCTTAGTACGCTTCCCGGTGGACAGTTCCACTGTCAGATTCATAGGCTCTTCTTTTTTTTTCAAAANAATAAAAAAAAAAAAAAAAAAAAAAAAAAAAAAAAACATTTTACTACAGGTAAATTTTTGGCCGTTCACTTCTTTTTTTATATTTTACTTTAAAATCGGAGTTGAACTGTCGACCCATTTCTGATTCTAAGACTATCAATATTCAACTCCGTAGCTTTACAAATTTGAGCCAAATCAAGCAGCGGTACAAAATAGCCTTCGTGGAATGACTTTTTTGTGGAACTTACTCGCATGTGAGTCACAATTAGGAGAAAACCACCAACCTGCCATCGTTGAGATTCGAACCTGGGACACCTCATTTTGAAGTACGGCTCTTGTCCTCTTCTGGTGTCGAAGAGAGTGAACCGATATCTTTCAGTTTTAAGACCATACAATAGTATTGATTTCCCTGTTTAGATTGAGATTGTCTTAGGTACTTGCAGTATCACCAGACCAGTGTTACATATATATATATAGATAGATAGATAGATAAATTAAATATATATATTAAATTAAAATTTTTAACGCATTTTTCTGTTTTTACCTTAGCTTTAACAGTATGTTCGTGACTCGTGTCGCATTCGATGCCTTCATTGGTTTTATGAAAAGAGTGTTTTTCGCAAGAAAGTTAATCTAAATACTCTTCCCCAAGCGAAGCTTTTTTTCTTAGATATTATTCTACTTTTAGATTCAGTTGTAAAGCGTTTTTCACAAATAGCTAAAGTTATCGACAGTGTAAGAGCTATGTCAATAAATTTTCTCAATCCATAACGCATGAATGGGTGTCATTTTCACCCACTCTATACTCACAAAATGATTCCCGAGTGGTTTATCTTCTACAGTTGAAAAAAAATATTTTAACACATTTCCACTCCCGGTAAAATTTTTTTTAATTGAGAGAAATTCAAATCCGAAGCGTATAATACGCGCGTCTTAATGCATATTTTATAACCGGTGTCGAATAGCCAATCCAATTCTGAAGGGAAGAAAAGAAGACAAGGGAACTCTTGAATCAAGCATAGGGACAAATTACCCTTCGCAGAGGACTTTTTGATGGAACTAACTCGCCGTTGAACAGCCGACCCAATTCTGAGTTTGTGATTATCAATGTTTAACTCCGTATCCTTGTCTTTTTGAACCTGAAGACTAGGAAACTCCTGGATAAGCATGAGGACAAACTAGCCTTTGTGGAGAATTTTTGATGCAACTAAAACGCGTTAGAATTACACGGAGAGCAAAATCACAACCCGATGGCAAGGGGATTCTAACCCATGATTCGAGCCGGGAATAAAATTCGTATCAACCAAGGCTTTCTGGGATTTGAACCTGAGCCTGGGTCACCTCATTGAGAGGCGAACGTTTTATCCCTTAAGCTACAGCTGCTATCTGGACGCGTATCTTATTTTATAATTGGCGTTGAACAGCCGAAACCTGATGGGTTTTAGAGAATTATGCTTCAAACGCTTAATTTATTCTTGACTTTATATCACTGTCTGCGCTTTTCGCTTTTATTATTTCTGTTAGCGGAAGAACTTTTTAAATAAAATTGTCATTCTTTCCTATTTCATTTTATCACAAATATTGCAAATGTATTTTAATGTTGTTGTTGTTACTTTACGTCGCACTAGAGCTGCACAATGGNTCACCTGACTGTCCGCTCTGCAACTTGGCAGAGCCCATGAATAGGACCCACCTCCGCCGCTGTGCTGCATTGCATTCCGGCTCTGAATCGTCGCTTTATTGGCAAGCCAGAGAACTTTTAGGGCAATGACTTCGGTCATTCTGTTTAGTTTATTTATTCACCTGTTTTGTCTTTGCATTTGTTTTCTGTGTTATTTCTTGTTTATGCCCTGCCATTGGAATAAAAAAAATGGTTTATCTTCCACAGTAGAAAAAAAATATTTTAACACATTTCCACTCCCGGTAAAAAAAATTTTAATTGAGAGAAATTCAAATCCGAAGCGTATAATACGCGCGTCTTAATGCATATTTCATAACCGGTGTCGAACAGCCAATCCAATTCTGATTCTAAAGACTATCAATGTTTAACTCCATAGACTTGGAATTTTCAAACCTAACGTAGAAGACAAGGGAACCCTTGAATCAAGATTAGGGACAAATTACCCTTCGCAGAGGACTTTTTGATGGAACTAACTCGCCGTTGAACAGCCGACTCAATTCTGAGTTTACGATTATCAATGTTCAACTCCGTATCCTTGTCTTTTTGAACCCGAAAACTCCTGGATCAAACATTAGGACAAACTCGCCTTTGTGAGGGATTTTTTGATGGAACTAAAACGCGTTAGCATTACACGGAGAGCAAAACCACGACCCGATGGCAAGGGGATTCTAACCCATGATTCGTCGTCCACTGAGGACATTTTACGTCTGCACCGGTGCGAGCCGGGAGTAAAATTTGTATCAACCAAAGCTACCTGGGATTCGAACCTGAGCCTGGGTCACCTCATTGAGAGGCGAACGCTTTATCCCTTAAGCTACAGCTGCTATCTTATTTTATAACCGGCTTTGAACAGCCGAAACTTGATGCGTATTGGCGAATTCTGCTTCAAACGCTTACAAAGTGTCTTGAAGAATTCTAAAGGCATGGTGAGCTTCATTTATTCTTGACTTTATATCACCGTTTGCGCTGCTCGCTTTTATTATTTCTGTTAGTTGAAGAACTTTTTAAATAAAATAGTCATTTTTCCCTATTTCATTTCATCACAAATGTATTTTAATGTACTTGAACATTAAAGAAGAAACTATTTTAAAAATTTGGGACAAAGATTTAAAAAAAAAAAAGAGGATGGGATAATATATTTTTTTGCATATACAGTGAAATCGTTTCCTCTCGAATATATGTCTGAAGGAAAGAAATTCTTTATCTCACAGTCAATAATTACTAGTGCCGACCGGCCTGTGTAGGGGGCAGGGAACTGTCCTTACATCAGAAAGGTCCTGGGTTCGAATCCCGGGCAAGGCATGGATGTTTCTTTCTCTCTCTGTGTGTGTTCTATGTGACCCGCCCTATAAACGGGTTGTGGTTGTGTGAATGGCGTGGCAGAAGTCGAATTCCTGGCCATAGATTGCACCCCCACTGCCAAAACACGCATACGGCAAAAAAAAAAATTACTAGTAGCCAAGTGATAAAAATTCGTCAACTGTAAATTGCAGCAAATAATCGATTGTTAAAATATGCCAGCATTGGGTTGGAATAACTGTACAAATAGTGCCGAACATATATGCGGTAGACACTTCTTCCAGGGTGGACATGTTCTTTATTTACAACAGTATTTTTGAATTCATTAATCTCTTCTAGATCCCTCCTGAAAAACAGATTTTTTTTAGTAGAGATTTTACACAAGTTTGAGTGTTTTTATGGGCAATATAATAGAGAGGATAGGGATAAGTTTTGGAAGGAGCTGGGACGGAAGAATTTTTAAGACTAATATTTTTCCTGTCTTTCGATTAAAAAATATTTTCATTGTATGATTCGATTGTATTATGCAGAACAAAAACTACCGTATCTTTTTTTTAGGAGCTCAAAGGGGGAAAATCTTATCTTATATAATAATGAATTATTATATAAGAATAAGGGAAATTATTATCTTAAATAATCTTGAATTAAAGGAGAAGATAAAAGACAACGATTGTCTAACCCTGGACGGGAAGTTTCCTATTTCATGTTTGCCTCACCCAGCATGCAGGAAACCTGTTATAATTATTCCTTATGTAAATAATGTTTTTCAGGAATATAAAACTATCTGCTTTACGGATGGTAGTAAGCTTGATGGAAGGGTTGGTCTTGCTTTTGTAATTTATGAAAATGGAACAGAGAAGGTTACTGCCAAGCACCGACTACATAATGAATGTACTGTTTTCCAGGCTGAACTTTTGTGTATAAACCTGGTTGTTAAGTGGATACAAAATTCTTTTAGTGAAAACCAAATTTTTAAATATCTCATTTGTACAGATTCTCTTTCTTCACTTTTTCTTTTGCGTGACACGACTTCTACTGACAAGGGAAACTAGGGAAGTGTGACTCGCCAATTTTGAAATAAACTAGTGGGATGTATGCCTTATGAGGAATAATTTTAGAGGACAACATTCGTTTCGGCCCATAGAAGGTCCTATGAGAGATAAAAAATAATTCAATATATAGAAAAATCGGTATTTTATTACTTCAATGCAGACTATTAGTTATTGCAATTGTCTCATAATCCTATTATTTTGTAATTAATTGGATAATTAATTAATTTGCTAATTAATAAATAAATCAGAAAGTAATTAATTATTAATTAATTATAAATTAATTAGTTATTTATTAAATTATTGATTTGCAATTACATACTCCAATTAATTTGGAAAGTTTTTTGAAAAAAAAATTTAAAAAAATTTATGTCAATTTTTTTTTAAAATTAACCTAACAGGTTTTTCTGAAAAACTGCAGAAAAATAAAATTTTCGAAATCAATTTCGACAATAAATATGCATTATATTGCACATGAAAGTACCACAAAATTAATTGGAGTAAGCATTGAAGTAATAAAATACCGATTTTTCTATGGTTCATTGTAGACCTCGCCCAAAGTTAAGCTGTCAAGATAAGGATAATTGCTTTCAGGTGCGTAAAAATGCCCCCCTAGAACGGGCTTGGCTTAATACTTTCTTGGCATGATATAGTTTATTTCTCTNGACACTTAGTTCGTGAAAATCCGATCATTAGAACGAAAGTTATTCAGGGTGATTCGTTTTTTTTTTTTGCGGACTGTACTTGAACATTAAAGAAGAAACTATTTAAAAATTTGGGACAAAGATAAAAAAAAAGGATGGGATGATATATTTTTTTGCATATACAGTGAAATCGTATCCTATCCAATATATGTCTGCAGGAAAGAAATTCTTAATCTCACAGTCAATTACTAGTAGTCAAGCGATAAAAATTCGTCAATTGTAAATTGCAGTAAATAATCGATTGTTAAAATATGCCAGCATTGGGTGAATAACTGTACAAATAGTGCCGAACAGGTAGTAATTCTTCCAGGGTGGACATTTTCTTTATCTAACACAACAGTATTTTCGAATTCATAAATCTCTTCTAGATCCCTCATGAAAAACATAGAGATTTTTTTTTAGTAGAGATTTTACACAAGTGTGAGTGTTTTTATTTGCAATATAATCGAGAAGATAGGGAGAAGTTTTGGAAGGAGCTGGGGAGGAAGAATTTTTAAGACTAATATTTTTCATGTCCTTTGATTAAAAAAAATATTTTCATTGAACGATTCGATTGTATTATGTAGAACAAAAACTACCATATCTTTTTTTTAGGAGCTCAAAGGGGCAAAATGGTAGGTATTTTCACAATCTTTGCAGAACATATACACTTCATTGCGGCTTTACTATATCTAAAGATCTTTGTGGAATTTGAACAAATTATGTCGAAATAGGGTCTACAATAAATGGATAGGTTTCATAAATATAGCTATCTCCAATTGAACAAAAAGTGGGTATCTACAAATCATGTCTGTGTGTGTTAACACTGACATCAAGCGGGTCTAAATATTAATAAGAAGTGAAAATTTCCAGAGCTGCAAATAAAAAAGAAATTCTTTGAAATTTATATGGTAAGCATGTATATATTTTTTAAAATACAATTATGGTAAATAATATAAGCAGAAATTCAATGGGAAAAACCTAAAGCATATAAAAAAATTTATTTGGTCTTATATGATAGGGCACATACATTAATAAGAGGGGAAACATATAGCTGCTTAGACAAACCAAACTAAATTACACAAATAATTTACATTATGAGTAAAATAAAATTTCATTTATAGATTATACACTAGTAGTACCTTATAATTTGAACAATAATGATAATTAAAATGTTCTTATATTTGTTTCATGCTCAAAATTCAAGAAGTAGAACATAATACACATTATTTGATTTTTACATATTTAAAATCTCATAAATCATACTTTTCCCAATTGAAAAAAAAAAATATTATTTTTTCAAATTTAAGAAACCCAAAATAAATATTTGTTTTTTCCTTTTGAGATTCAACAAACCAATATAAAGTAATTATTATATATTATTGAATTTTATAAGCACAAAATGAATATTTTCTTGTTTGACTAGACATGTACTTAAATTCTATGCTACTTGAAGTTGCATCTTGCTTTATATTATGATCAACTAAAACCTTATGAAATGTTGTGTTACTGGAAATTTCTAAGAGAAAGAAATTAAAAATAGTAATTATTTTCAGATTTCAAACAAAACAAAATTTAATAAAATAAATAACAAGTAGTGCTAAGGCTTTTTAATCAGAAAAAGTGGAATGTAATAAGTTATTTATAATTATATATACAACTTGAAAGAGTTTTATGGTTTCAATATCAGCTGTGACTTTTTTTTCAGATTTAGGAAAGGCAAATGAATTAAGGTAAGACATGATCATTTTATGGAAAGGACCAAGGTCAATGATTATTTTTTTTTATCATCAAAAACATTTATTTTTATGTTAAAATTAAACATGTATTCTATATCATGCTAATTTGGATATAGGAAAATGTTAATAATCTCTTTTTCTTTTTTTTTAATAATAGATTTTGGTAGTAAAAACCAATTGATGCAATTTTTAAAAGTTGATAGGCAGTTTTTATTTCTTCAATGAATCACTCAAAAAGGTTAAAGAACTTTTCTAAATGAATATCAAACTAGTTCGCTCAAAAGAATATATGTGCAAGTAATAAAAGTTAAAGTTTTTGGCAAATTTTTTGAGTATATATTTAAACTAAATAGTTCATTTATGTTAACAAAAATGATGCAAAATACAATAATCATCAATTACTCTGATATATTATCATTGGATATAAAATAGACATTTATTGAGACAATAATAAATATGTTTTACTTTTATAGAGGATAGTAGATATTTTTTTTGTAAACAAATTTTGAAGTAAAAAAAGTTATAAATTACATTAAAAAATGTCATTGCAAAAGCTTAGAAAGTTAGAAACTTGTTTGTGCAGTTTTCGGAAAATTGTTTGCATAGATTAAATTGTTTGTATTTTTCTTTAAGTAGCATTTTTAAGAACTGGTTTCATGACCCAGGTTTTGTAGTGATTCAAAATAAAAATCAGAATTTTTTTTTGTTACACTGTACACACGTTAGTCTATTAAGAAGGGGAAACCAAGAGCTAAAAAAATATTGTAATCCTCTGCTTTGAAAATTTTGTTTTGGGTGATGCATTTCTTTAACTATCCGCAACCTTTAAAAAATGGTAAACACGTAACGTTTAAAATAAAGAATTAAGAAAGGAACAAGTTGATCAGGAATGAATTTAAAAACTGTGCAATTCCTACATACAGTGAAAATCTCGCAACCTGGACTTTTTTTACTTTGGAAATATATCTCTTAACATAAAAATAGATCTAAATAAGTTTAAAAGAAAGTTGATAATTACAGTTATTCTCATGCAGCCTACTATCTACTAATAAAATCATTAAACAAAAAAACACTAGAATAATAATAATAAAAAAAAAAACAAAAACAGAAATACGAAGTCCTGCTATCAAAACATTTAAAAATTTTTTTTAAAGAAAATGTATTTAATGTATTTGAAATACAAATCTAGTTCAAAGATTTATTCAAAAATTAGAAGATTAAGAATTAAGTTTTTTCAGTAAAATATAGTAATAAATAATGAATAAAAATAAATTAATAATTTCTCAGAGAAAAGTTTAAAACGTGCTTTGTTATATTTTTAAAGAGAACATTCAAGAAATTTTCTTTTACTTTTGCTTTTAGGCTATAATATGGAATTCACCTACTTTGTCTCTTGATTTTATGACAAATTAATAGTTTTTTTTAAACTGAGGAATAATTGGATTATTATTAAAAAATAAAATTCTTCGGTGATTCTCCTACTGAAGGTTTATGCATTCCAAGTCAGGTAACTATGATATTAAAAAAAAAAAAAAAATCAAATAGAAATACAACTAACTAAAATTTTACATGGTGAAAAAATATGCAATTTAATAACTGAAAATGAATAGCTGCCAAAAAAAAAAAAAAAAAAAAAAAAAAAAAAAAGAATAGCTGCTTAAATATTTTATGCTGAAAAGTTTAAAAAATTTATTAAAAAAAAATCTAGATGTTTTAATGTAAAATATTATACTAACAGGCAATAAATTTTAATCATTGAAATTATTATAAAGAAACCAAATACTTGTATTTAAAATCATGAATTCATTAATTTATTGATTGTCCATAAATTCATGGATGATTGAGAGGGTAAAACAAATCTTCAGCTTTTTAATTTTGTTTAAAGTGACAATTAATTAGATTAGGAACTAAATTGTATGAAAAACCCGAATTTGCAATTAAAAAAATAGGAAACTGTTATGTAATAGTTGTGTTTGGTTTAAGCATAAACTAAAAGGTAGATGTCCTCTTGGTAGCTTACTGATTAATAGTAATACTGATTTTGTTGACTGGCAAAGAACTTCACAAAACTGATAATATATTATATCAAATCCTTTATCATCATTTTTTTTTAAAACTAAGATTCAAAAAATATCTTCATGCCAAAAAATAAGCAAAAATAGTGTTTTTCAAAAGTTCTGATTTATGTACGATAAACTAGATAATATAAAATAATAATCTTTTTACACTACATTAGCCTGTCCATCAATTAATTTTGCAGATAGCACAATACATAATTGGGTAATATAGGAAAAGAATATTGAAAAAGGGCATTATATACATACAACATATACCAAAGCATAAAAGTTATTTTATTAAGTCATAAACTTGCTGGAAAATTGAACAATTTTCAAAAATTTTAAGTTAATAAAATATATACAATAAGTATAACAAGATTAATAATAATCTGAAAGTATTTATGAAAGACAAAGATTTTGTTAGAACGATCTACAGCTTTATTTATGACTGGATCCTTGTGAAAGAGTATCATTAAGTTTTTTCAATGAGTAATCTTTTCTGTCAAAAAAAATAATTATTTTAGAACAGTAATTAAGGGGGGGGGGAAGTTTACACCAAATAAAAAAATTAATTTTTTTTTATACTACATAGATTTTAATATATATATTAAAATGCAGAAAAAACAAAACTTAGATTTTTGTCAATAATTTTGCTTGTATTTACCATAATTTACTTAAGGGAAATTATTGGATTATCTTGAGTTTTTTATAAATATTGGCACAATTCATAACCAAATTTGATTCAGTTATAATTATGTATCTTTTCAAACATAAATGGTTTCTAAAAAATAAGAATTTACTGCCGCTTTTGACAAAATTTCATTTAAAATATATCAGATCCTTCAAGGGGAAGAAAAAACAAAACAGTAACCATCTTTTTTTACAGCTCAAATATATGACAAACTAGAATAATAGCACTCTAAATTAAATTGATACAGTTTAATGGATCATTAGCAACAACTACTCTCTTTTTCTTTGTCGACCGAAGAACTTGCAGGCCTGCTAGCAACGATATTACTCGAACTTCTCGGCAATGATGATGAGGTCATCATTGGCCTGCGACTTTTCAGTTTATGAGCAAGGGTCATAAAAATTGCATCCACATGTTCTGCTTCTCGATCATCAGTAGCAGACGTTTCAAATAAAGGCATGTCATGGTCATCAGCAAATTTCTGAGCCATATTAGTATTTACAGCAACAGCATCAATAATGTCACATTTGTTTCCCACCAATATTTTTGGAATGTCTTCACACTGTCCTTGATACTGCTTAAACTCAGCAATCCAGTGTGAAAGATTTTGAAAAGATCCTATCTTTGTAATGTCATACACAAAAACAACAGCATGGACATTGCGGTAGTAATGAGGAATCATACTTTTGCGGAATCTTTCCTGGCCAGCAGTATCCCACAGTTGTAACTATACAAGTAAACATTTAAAAATAGTCTATTAGATTATATTTACACAACTTATGAAATCGACATAAACCAAAGTAATAAAAAAAAGAAAAGATGATGATATATTGTTGAGACCGGATGTCGTCAAAAAGATAACATTTATCATATCATAGGATAATCTTTCTACTTAAATATTACAGCATATATAAAATAATACCACTAAAATATATGAGGAATATTATGTATTGTAATAAATTATGAAAATTATTATATAATAATATTAAAACTAAGAAAACTAAATAAAAAAAACAGTAAAATTATCTAAACTAAGCAAAATTACAGCTTAAATATAAAAATGCAATTTAGATGAGTTTAAAGGAGGCAAAAATTTTTTTTTTACAAAAATGATGATTGAATGTAATAACTAATTCAATGGATGTAGAAAAAAAATTACATAAAAGTGGAATCTTAAAAACAGAAACAGATAATGGAAGTTATAAATGAATTATTAAATCTTCACTACATTAAAAATTCTTATAGTTATCAATAAAATATATTTAAATCCCTCCTTCATAAATTAGCTAAATAAAAAAAAATATAGTCTAAAAAATTACATTAAAATTTTTTTTACTTTATTCTAGCAATGCGCAAATTAGTTATAAATGTAAATGAAAAAGTAAGAAATGCTTTTAGTTTTATGTATGAAGGTCCAGTGTAAAAGTAAGAAAAGTAGTAAATATTAATATCAATATTAAATCGAGGTATTTTTTTTAAATAAGTATCTTATTTTAAAAAATTTTCTCTTTTGAAATTTTTAATTATCTTCAAAGCTTTTTTAATTAATACTTAATTTGAAAAAATTTCCTTTTGAATCTAATCTTATAATATAGAAAATTTAATTTTTAAACGAAATCAGTATTTTGTCGTAAATGACTGTCACATGGAAAACTTTTGATTAAGTAAAATTTATAAATAAAATATGTTTCAAAAAATGGAATAATTTTTTAAAAAAAAATTATACAGAAACAAAAATGGATTTATTCATACCTTAATAGGTTCATTATCCACAACAACTTGTCTTTCTCGGAAGTCGACTCCAATTGTTGCTTCAGTTCTCATAGGAAATTTCCCACCACAAAATCTGTAGGTAAGACATGTCTTTCCGACATTAGAATCACCTATAACTATAATCTTAAAAATTCTGCGCTGTTTTTCAAAGGAGATTGATGACCCATCAATACTAGATGTTAAAGAGCTGCTCATTTTTAATTTCAATATCTAAATTAGAAATAAAAAATATATATATACATATATTTAAGTTATGTTATATCATGCAGATGCAATACGTCAATAAAATTAATTTATCTATCTGGTGTTTTGTTCTATCATGAATACTTCCAATTGGTTCACCATTTGCTTTCTAGCCAAGGCGAGTATGGCGAATATTGCTTAAGATGTTTTCTATCACATCTTAAATTTTTGTTCAAGCAATTCGAAACAACCTATACATATATATAGCTTTTTGTATTGTAAATATTATAATACAAAATTTTATATTTTAATATAAAGGCTTCACCATTATGATATATTTTATTTTGTAATGGTGAAGCCTTTGAAATAATGAGGAAAATTCTGCATTCAAACAAACTTACAGAAAATGAATAGCAAGCTGTAGGACAGAGGTTTGAAAATTTACTCTTTGTGCTAAGAAAAAAACGAATGCATATTATAATTTAAAAATATTTTAAATAATATAATTTGTTAACTCAACTTTTATTGGCATTATAAATAATTTTGCAGTAAGTACATAAGACTTTAAGTTAAATTTTTATATTTACAATAAACTTATTAAGTTCGGTCATTACTTTTCATGTATTTTCAAGTCATTATTTGATGTTTTAAGTTGACCCATGTACAGAGCTGTTCAGTATTTAGGCCCATGAGAAACAGTCTATAAAGGTTCCATTAGATATATACATATTTTAATCCATTTCTATCTAGTAATAATGTAAATTATTTTAAATCCAAAAATTAAACAGAATAAATTAAATACAGCTACCACTTAAAATATAAAGACAACAACTCAGTTAAAGTTTGTGGCTACAGAACTAGACATTAAAAAAAAAATTAATACAATTGTATAATTATATCCTGTGATTTGTTCTTAATAGAATGACATTTACTAAACACGAACCAATAAATTCATTCAAAATTCCAAATCGTTATTGTAATCGATTTAAAATCTTGGAAGCTCTTATGAATACTTTTATTACTATCACAATATATTTTCTACTTCCAGCGATAACATTATACTATGTTAGAAACATGAGAATAATTTAAAATTAGGGACGAAATAGTGATTTCATTCTAACAACATTTATTTAGCCGGGTTTTTTTTTGTTGTCTGTCATCATGCTTTCAAACATATCATTAAATCTTTAATTACAAAATGCTTTTCAATGTAAATCCTAATAGATTATTTTAAAAAATTGAAAGAAATAAAATTAAAATGTGTAAAATGATATATATTTAAGTTTGAGTTGCTTCAAACGGCAATAGTTAAGACGTAGTACAAAATTATTTAATTATAATGGATGCAATTGCCATACATTCAATAGATTTTTAAACGTTATTTTACTTACGGTATCACAATAATTTACTTGATATTTTTATAAGACAGATATATGACCATATCTCATTAATCTCTTAATAAAATTCATAATACTAAGAATTAAATAAATTTCCTTCTGTTCTTTCCCAAGCAGAGAAGTGAAAATAAAAACAATAATATATAATCACAGTTGCAGTTTTTATAACAGAAATATCAATCATTTAAAATTTCTACAATGATTTAAAGATTTCAAACATCTATTTCCCTAAGATATATAATTTCTATAATTATGCATTCAAAACTTTTTTCAGGAGTCCTAAACTTTCAATAATATTTAAAGTTTTGAATAGAATGAAGTGCAGTTGGGTTGCACCTAAACTCCGTTTATTATTAACAGCGACGGTACCTGCATGGTCGACCTTTGGTTGAGTTAAAGCAAAATTTAGTAAATTTGCCGGCAAATTAAATAAATAAAATTTTTTCAAGTCCAAAATGAATTCTCTCAGAAAATGTACTATTGGGAATGTTTTGTTCTCAAGATTTGTCCAAGAAAATAAAAGTTTACTAAGTATGCTTGATTTTATAAATATATATTACTTACGAATATTATTTTTAATACATAAATGTTATGCTACAATTTACTGTAAAGACGCTGACATATTTTTAATAAATACTGCTTTTTTTGGAAATGATGCATTTTTTATATTTCTTTTGAATAGGTTTATAAATAATTCAAGATATAAGTTATGTAATCTTGGAAAATTTGATCGGTATTTTACGTAACAGCGTTATAATCTGTTTTTTCTAGTAACTAAAATTAGGGCGAATTTATTAACCATTTTATGATTTCAATTAAATCTAATGACTGATCTCCGATTGAAATTTAAATTCATTGTGTGTTTACATATCTTTCTGTTTTTCGAAAACTACTATTTAAACTGTTACTGAAAGAATATTCTATTTTATAGAGCATTATATCTTACTAAACACGAGTTATAGAAATTTTCAAACAATTCTGTCGTATATTTTCCGATAATAAATGGTTTTGAAATTATTATTTAAATTAAGGTGTTGCCAGTTCTATCTCACTTAAATGCAAATTTGTGGTTCCTTAATTGTGTAAAGTTTATCTTTTGTCATTTTATAGGTAAGCAAGTAGACTGCTTCAACCTGTCATAAGAAAGGCAATTATTAGGATGATGCAATAATCTAAATTTTGTTACCCAAATCACATGTTAAGCAAATTTTATAATTTTTCTTCAGAAAACTTTTGGTTAACCCCTTAACTGTCGCAGGCGTATATTTATGTCTCGGCCAGACTGTGCATTAACTGCCTTCGGTAATTGTTTACCTTCGGGTAAGCGTATATATACGCTTACCCGAAGTACGATGCCTTGCATTGCGCTGCTATAAATAGAGCTACGCTCCAGCCTTCTGAATGCAGTAAAATGACCTTGAAAGTGTTAGCCAATGAAGGTGTTTGCAATGAATGTATTAACAATTTCGGAGGAGGGGGAAAGGGATGTGTTGGAAAAGTTATATCTCAATTTTTATTGCTTGTGTGCTTTTATTTGAGTAAGGTCCAGTTTATTCTTCTTTCGTTTTCATTTCCTGTGTATATTCGTCGAGAGTCCCGCTATCAGCGCAATGAATATGAGGTTTTTTTATATGTCCAAATATGTTTTAGGATTTATCACATAACAGCTAAATTTTAACATCTTTTATGTTGTATTTTTATTCTTTAATTTAAGTTTTGTGTTTTCTCTTTTTCCTTTTTCTTCCCTTGTGAAAGTAAACTGTTTTTAAATTGCAAAGCGTGCATCTTTTCCTCCCATTAAAACACCGCGTAACAAAGCGCACTGGGGAGTGAATCACGTACATTTTACTCGGTAAGTAAGGGGTTAAATAATTATTGATTTATTTTGAATGGGTTAAGTTTTGAAAAGTATTGCAAATCAGTGTTTACATGTGTACCTAATTTTAGTGAAAACTGGGCAATGACACTTTAGAAACTAATAAAGATTGGACAAACTCTAAAAGGTAACAATCATAGCCATATTATGTAATCCCTTATAAATCTGTTTTTTTAAAAAAAATTTCTCTCAGTACATATTACTGAGCAGCGTCACTTAGTGCTGAATATATGGTATTTGGCTGTTGTGCCAAATCACTTCGTTGCATCCCTAGTTTTCAGTGCTAGAAAAGTCAATGTACAGTAAAGGAGTGTGGTGAGGAGACCAGGTGGCTTTTAATAATTTATCATTTGTGATTTTATTATTATGATCAAAAGAATTCCAAAATAAAAGCATAAAAATTTTTACATAATTTTAAAGAATGTAATTTTATATGTCGAAATAAAATAGTTTGGCTGAAGTCTGACACATTAAATTTATAAAATATGTCTTTTCTAAAATTCAATTTTCCGAAACTAATTGACCAATTTTTAAAGTTTACTTAAAAAAATTTTGCTGCTTATGCTAATCAAAACGTGTTTATACCTCACAATTAAAAATTTTTTGTCCATTGTTAAATAAAATTTTGTTTATTTTCGGATAAATTTAAATGAATTTATAATTGTGTGCAAAGAGTTTTTAATTTGTTAAAAAAATATGCCCTAATATGTAAAGAAAGAAATTAATATTTATGGATTCAAACTTTCATTTTGATCGTATTTTCCAGATCGTGTCTACTCTCGATATTTTGTGGGTCAGAAATCAGATTTCAGAGGGGGGGAAAATTTAGTTTTTTAGAGAAAGTTTGTTCTTGTATCTGATTTTGTGACTGAAAATATCATCTGCACTGATTATTTAGCATATCAATCGCTGGATCAAAAGTAATATAGAATGTGTTTTGTGTGTGTGTGTGTGCACTGTACAAAGATTTTAATTATTTTTTATCTTATATGACAGGTTAATAATGTTTGTGCAATATTGTGGTATGAATATTTATTTGTAATTTTTTTTTTCTAAATGTAGATGTTCGTTATCTTTACAATGATCAGTTTCTTGGGATTGACAAATATGTTGATGCAAGGCAGAGAACTATTACTAGATTGGGAAATATGAGAGGCAAGTATTATAAAAAAAAAATTGGTTTTACGGCAATTCCATATGTGACGGAATGACATTTTGACTTGCAAAATTATAATTAATTGAAGTTTCTATGTATCTAATTTCAAATAAATTTTTTTTCCTCATGCATATCATTATTATTGGCATAATGTGCTTCATAAACTAAAAAACAGGATTTTCTATCTTTTTTACTTTTAATTTTGCGAACTTTTTATTTGCGTGACGGAATGACATTTTGGCAACCAAGCTTTTGGCATGCCGCTTAGAACTGGTAGCTTCTGCGAATTTTGTAGCTATTATTTTTCTGAAGTATTTTTTACTTTTAGTATAATGTGTAAGCAGTGCAAAATGTGAATTTGGAAAATTAACCTCAGGTTGGCTAGCATTTATTAACATCTATTTGCTGTGACGGAATGACAAAAAGTTTAGTAGAAGAAAGCCTTCATTTAAAAAATGTTTTATTAATATGTAAATGATAAACAGAATGTAACAGATAAACAGGATTAATATTTATGTAAGAATTAGTAAAAATTTCAACAGTTTGAAAATTAGGTTGTCTCTGAAGAGGTTTTATATCTAACTTGCCAATGTCACATCTTATCTTCGTTCTCAGGAAATTTATGCATTATTAAGACATGTGACGGAATGACGTAAAAGAAGTTACTTTTATTTTATATATTAAACTTAAAATGTTTAAATTTTGTTCTATATGCATATTTTTATCAAAATATTGCAAAAGAAAGATACATTTCTTTTATTTTATAAGTATTTTTCAAGAAAACAATTTGAGCACAAATGTGAACAATTCACTTGTCAGCCATGTGATTACTTTAGAATGCTGCCAGATTCAAAAAATTTAAAATTTATCAAAAATGAAACGGCAATATGTAGACTTAGGCTATTTTTGAACATATTTTTAAAATTAAAATATGCAATTCATAAAAAAAAAAATTTCACTTAAAAGTTGACACTTCCGTGGAATTGCCCTTTAATTAAAATATACAAAATCTCACTTATTGTTTATTTAAAAAAATGGCTGTTCTGTTTTCTTTATTACTTTTCTCTATATCCAGCTGTATTAACAACTATATCCATTTCAAATTTATTTATATTTATTTCAAATGGAATTTTCTAGGAAATTTTTTTAACCGTATGAAAGCACAAGTAACTAGCACTGTTCCATCTATGATATTTACTGAAGATTTAAAGACTGTAATTCATTCATGTGAAGATACTCCAGAAGATATAGAAGTTTCTATTCAAATGATTAAAAGGTTTGTTGCTAAAGTTAAGCTGCATTTTTTTCTTCTCTTATCCATTTATTTTGTTTAAATTATTTGTATAAATTTTTATTCTAATTTGGTAGTTTTGAAAGATAATAAGTATGATAATCTCGTTTAAAGTTAATTAGAAACTTTTAATGAAATGTTTGTTGTTAATTTAACATTTTGAAATGATAGCTACATTTAAAATAGCAAACTTTTATTACTATTTTAGAAATTTTTTTCAACATGAATCCTTTCCTTATGAAGAAAAGTAGTTTTGATCTTCTCAATCATTGAAATTGCTCTATTTAATGTGATGTTATTTTTCTATGAAAATAATAGTTCTGGCTAATTGTGTGAGTTTCTTTTATCTAAATGCCTTCATATATTTTGAAACTAATTTACTGAACTTAGGTACTTATTTTGTGGTCTAAATATTCTTATTTAATTTGTGAAGGTTATTTGTAAGAATATTTTAGCTATGTTATATTTCTACTGTCATTTTACAGTGTTTCCATTACAGAAAAAAAATGGGGGAGAATTTCTCACCCTTTCTCAAAAACTGGGTGAGATTTCAAAAAATTAAAAAAACACGAATAGACTTGAAAAAAAAATTTCTTTAATTATAATAATAAATTTTTAACATTTTCTAATTTCTAAACCATTGAATATTTTTGCTGCATCATCACATGGAAAATGTTCAATATCTACTTTTTCATCATTCTCATTAGGTTGCTCATCAGTCAATCTGTTACGATATTTTGTTTTAATTCGGTTTTGGGTGCTAAATGACCTTACAACAGATGCTGAACTATTTGGTATCACTAATTAAATTTGTAGGATTGTGCACACACTTTCCTATCCTCTACATCTGCCAGCATAGGCTTTTCAATTATTTCTGTTATGGAATAGTGAAGTTCGTTGAAGTTATTACCATGTTCATTCTTCTTGTTAGGTCTTCCAGCATAGTTTTCACAGACTTCAACTTTTACAAATTGCTGTAAATTGTCGATGCGGGAGTTTGATAATTCATTAACAGCTAAAAATATAGCTAACTTATATTGTTTAGTTATATAACTTATATAACTAAGCAACTTATTATATAAAGGACTCATTTTTTCCCCTCAACAATTATCGTAGCTGTTTTCATGTCTTTTTCAAAATGGCGGTAGACGAAATTTTCTCCAAAATTCGGGAGATTCGTGCATTTTGAAATTGATTAATAGAGTGTGCGAACATTAATAATTTTTAATGCAAGACAAGAAAAAAAATTTCGAGATTCTCACGCTGTAGTAAAAACACTGTTCTACCATTTGCAGATTAGTATTTTAAATATGTGTAGTTCAGTTGAAAAAGCTGATTTCTTCTTTACTTTTCAGGTATCACAAACAGAACAAAGAATTGAGGTTTGGGACATTTATTTTTGGACCTGTAACAATGAGGTTGTTTTATTATCTTAAGAAACAAGACATGATTTATGATTTTTTCAAGGATCAAGTATGTAAATGTTTGACTCTTTTTCCCTTTGAATTTTTGTCAGCATTTTTATCCTTCATTTTGTAAATATTAATTGTTAAAAGGGTTAGAGTAGGGGTGCACAACCTGCGGGCCAAATGCGGCCCGCGAGAACTTCTAAACACAATAAAAGAAGTTTAAAAAATGGCAATTTTTAATCGCACTTTTAAGTCATCACATTTTGGCACAATCAATTATAGCAGATTCTTTAGTAAATGTACGTTTAATGCGCTTTCTTTAAGCCGATTTTATTGTAAATATAAATGATTTTTTTAAAACAGTTATTTCCGCTTTTCTACGTGATTTCGGAAATCCCGAATTTTCATTACGACACGAGATTCAGATCGCCCATTTAAATAATCACTTTTTGGTGCACTTTATTTGTGACGATTTCATCTTAAATCTAAGTGATTTTTTATCTTTTTTTTTTGTTGCAATTCTTTCTTTTTTTCAACAATTTTCTTCGGCAGTTATTGCTATGCGTTTCCACGTATCATAGAAAATTCCAATTATTCTATTACGACATGCAAATTTTAAATCGTGCATTTGACAAGCTTTATTCGTGCTGAGTTCAGCATAAATATAAGTAATTATTTCACCCAATTATTTCTATACTTTTTTCATATGATTTTGACAATCCCGTTATTTAACTATGATGTTATTACGACACGTGATTGTTAATCGCGCAATTAAATAATCACTTTTTGATACGGTATTTCGGTGCAGTTTTATCGTAAATCCTTGTTATTTTTCCTTCGTTTTTTTTTCCACAACGAATATGATTTGGTCGAATGTGGTAATGAATTGTGATTTGGTCAAAAACCAAATATTCGTTTAAAAAAAAAAAGAAGAAAAATCGACTGAACGCCGTACACTTGGGGCCAAGTAGCAAAATCTTTTAGCAGCATAGCAGCACTGAAACTGAAATTTCAATGCTCAGAATAATATTTCCTGGAAAAACGTATTCATAAATTAACTCTAAAAAATAAGGCCAATCAAGAACGTTTTTGAAAATGTCNGTTGTGAAACAGTAAACGCTGACCGTTACTGTGAAACACTGCGGAAATTGCGACGTGCCATTCAAAACAAGAGGCGTGGAATGCTTACTGCAGGTGTTGTGCTCCTCCATGACAATGCTCTTTCACATACAGCTCGACGCACAGCAGCTGTTTTGACGAAATTTGGCTCGGAGTTGTTTGATCATCCACCCTACAGCCCTGATCTTGCTCCCAGCGATTTTCATGTTTTCTTGCACCTCAAGAAATTCCTGTCCTCCGGTGAGCGTTTTGGCAACGACGAAGAGTTGTCACACGCTGGTTCCATTTACGGGTGGCAGAGTTCTACGACAGAGGAATACAAAAATTGATCCCACGATACGACAAGTGTCTCAATTCTGGTGGTGACTATGTTGGAAAATAGCTGAGACATTGCTGTACTTGTTGCCAATAAATATGTTCCTGAAAGTATGAGTTCTTTTTTTAAAATAAAAATAGGGAAACTTACTTTCTGGATGCGCCCCGTAATTCTAAAATGAATTTTCGTATTGCATGATATGATAAAAAAAAAACATTTCTTTTCTTCAAAGTTTATTTATTTTGATAAATCTATTGTTCATATGATAAAAATAGCAATTTTTTTTGTAAAAAAATTGCTATTCTTTATTTTTGAATGAATTCTAAAAATGAACACCTTTAATTTTTTGCAAATATATTACAAAGTTCATTGATAAAAAAATAGAACGCTAATGTTTAAATAAACATTACTACATTTGTCATTAACATGTCTCAATACATGTGCGGCCCTTCGTTAGCCAACCTGCTGTGCAAGTGGCCCTTCACTCAAAAAGGTTGTGTTCCCCTAGGTTAGAGCATTAAAATATTTTTAATATCTAATAGGACCTTGATTAACAAAGTAATTGGGATCTTTTTTACTTGAAATAATCAAAATATTTTGATAGTTTTTTCAACCTATTTTTATCAATAAATTCTGAGTGCTATACAGCTCAGTGTATGATGGCTGTTAAAATCACATCCAGTCTGAGAACATTTGATTCTATAGTGTCTAATTTTATAAACTGGAAAAATAGGAAACGCGCATAGGAAAAATATGTTTCGAAGTTAAAGAAACAGTCTTAAGGAAAAAAAGTGTTTCGAAGTTATGCTTTATAAGTACCTTAAAAGCTGAATGTATTGCTACATTAAATTTTATTTTTGAGTAACATTTTTCTATTTACAAATTTTTGAAATGTTTGTATATTTGTTTAAATTGCAAAGTTTAAAATTAATATAGAAATGTGTTATTTATATGCTTTCAAAGCTCGAGAAGATAGAAAGTTCTATCTCTATTTCTAGCCTGTTATTTTCAAGAACAGGCAAGAAAAAAAATTTTTTTTATTAATGTATGCCTTATAAAAAATTTATATTCTAAAAGTGTAATACTGATTTTATTAAGGGATGGATTTAACATTTTGATATTGTAATGATTCTGTTTTTGCCGGTTTGATTGTAAAAAGTGACCAATTTTATTATCTAACGATTTCATTTTAGTAGCAGTCATTGTTTTAATATGATCATTTAAAAAAATGTCATTTTGTTGTGCAGTATAAAGAGTTGAAGGTGTATAGTTTAATTATGACTGCTTACTATTGAAAAAGGGGAAAAAACTCTTTACATGTAAATTTTTTATTTTATTTCAAAGTTTAATTTGATAGTATTCAAGTGAAAGATGTTTAAAGTGTAGAGTGTACTATAAGTATCACTCGAAATTAGCCTTTTAAAGAGATCTTATGCTGAAAAAATAAGTTATATGCATTTTACTTGAGGTTGAAAAATGTGGTTATAACTGTGAAATATATTAACTATTAACTAAACTGTGAAATATATTAACTAATTATTGGATTCAGCTGAGGCATTGTAGTTTAAACAGGGTTTGAAAAAGCCCAGGGAAAATTGTTTTTTTTTTTTTCATTTAGTAAACATAAACTTTAAAGTTTTACTGTGTGAATAATTTTATTAAATAGTGTTGTATAAGCTTAGAAATAGAAATAAATCCAAAAAGTTAATTTAAAATACATGTAACAAAATTAAAGGAAGTTTAAAGAACACATTTTTACTAATACATATTTGAATCTTCTTGACTGTTAAATACATAAGGTTTCACAATTTTAAAATATAAATGCAACAGTAATATAAAAGGAACAAGTTTATTAATCTTTTAGTTTTCACACACATTTATTTACTATATTTATTAAGCATATATATATTACCTATTATAAATTTATAATCAGTAAATATTTATAATCAATAAAAATTAAAATTTCATCTGACTTTTAACTTTAATAAAATAAAACTAAAATAAATATTTAATGGTCTTCCATGTTTTTATAATAACATGACGTATAATTATAAAGAGTATCAGTTATTGTCTCATTTTTTTCAAAGATTTAACCTACAGAAAAAGGCTTCATTTCTAAATAAATAATTTTAACTTTATATTTTTAATTTCAAAATACAAATGTATCAATAAAATTATGAAAAAAAGCATATATTTAGTTGTAGCTTATTTTTTAAAAACCAGAAAATAAAACTTTAAATTTGTTAATGTATCACTTAGTAAAAAAAAATTAGAAAAAACCTGCTTAAAGATTTCAATAGTAATATAAAATTATACCTTAAAGTTTCTTTTTCTTTACAAATATTAAAAACTTAATCATAGCTCGCAACGCTGACAAATTTATGTTGCACAATAAATTATGTAAAATTAAGTGTGCATCGATAAGCTTTAGTGAAAACAGTTTAAAAAAAAAAAAAAACATTTAGTGTTCTAAGTAGGTTTTTTCAAGGTGGGCCAACTCAATAAAACAGAGGCGGGTTTTTTCAAAGTGGGCCCACTTGGCGAACCCTGAGTTTAAATAAGAGAAATTATTACTGAAGTGTACAAAATTTAGGTAATACTTTTTTTTATTGTTTAAGAACTGTTGAAAAATTATATATAACTTAATAAAGTATATTTAAAAATAATATGTAACTTAAATATGATTTAATGGCTACTTAGACTATATATGTAGATTAATTAAAATTTTTATTTAAAAATTAACTGACATCTTTTTTCTCTTTTCTATAGGAACTGGAAGGATTCTTTGATCAATTGAAATCATACTATTTAGGCATGGATATTTATTTCAAGAATGGAAAATATGAAGAAATTTTGGATGCATTTGATCAGTTGCAGGCTAAAAAGATAGCAGAAACTAAATTTCCCAGAGAAGGAGTAGTTCTGGCTACAGGGGCTTGCTATAAACTAGTAAGCATTATAATTTTTTTTTTTTTATTATTAAAAAAAATATTGTTATAGCTTATTGGTTCATTCAGAAGAAATAAAAAATATCCATTAAGTTTGTAATTAACAGTTGTTTAAAACTATGTTTAACATAATTTAATGCAATTTATTAATAAATTGTTAAATCATTTACAAGTTTAGTTAGTTTGATAATGGCTCTGCATTTTTTAAAGGATAACAGTATATTTATTCAAATCATAAAATTTTTAAAAAATATATTTTATCTTTTTTTTAATCTAAAATCTTATGTGGAATAGTTGAATTATGTAGCAAATTTGTTTCTATTCATAAAATGTTTAACATATTTCTATTTTAATTAACTTTTTTTTTTAATTCTAAGTCACATTCTATGTCTGCTATTTTTAAAGAAATAACTCAAATTCATCCTTAAACATTTATTGTTACTGTCTGTAAATCATTAGAAGCTAAATTTGAAGATTGAATTTGTTTTAAAGATCATTATAGGAATGATTAAAAAAAATTGTAGGATGGAACATTATTATTGATCTTACATAGTAATTGCGATTGCAGCTCTTAATTCCATTTGGGGAAAAAATTTCTTTTGATATGTGTTGCTTTTAGAAATTAAAATACAAATTTTCATTTCTTTTTCAATTCTTAAGTTATTTTACTACTGTAAAATTGGACTAGTTGTCCATTGAAGCTTGTACCCTCTTTGTTTTATAAATTCAAAGATATATAAATAACAAATGTCACGATATCATTTATCAGTTAAAACTAAGAGTTCTTCGCTATTTAAATATTCATTATCTTAATTGTATGAATATTTTTCCTTTGATTTTTCTCCACCTTGTATGTATGTAAATATTCTTCTGTTGATAATAATTATTTAATTTTATTTATTTCAATAAAGAATACTCCAGAAACTTTCCAAAGAGCAACAGAGTTGGTAACATTGGCAAGAGAAGCTAGAGTTCCTGTTCTAAGAAAAGCTCTAACATTTGTAGTGGCTTTAGCTTTGAATCAAGTAAGAAATGTGTTCCTCTCAATAACCTAACAGGGGTCTGTCTGAGTTTTTCTGAGAGGTACCTATTTTGTGAAAATTTAGACATAATTTGTGAAAATTAAAAAAAATAATAATAAATCAACATAAAAATATGAATTTATCGTTTCTAACGGGGTACAAAAATTAAATTTTAAGAAGAAGTATTTTGTGACACTACCGTTTTTCCTAAAGTTGAATTTGTGAAGGTACCGCTAAATGGTAGTAAATTTGACCTGGACAGACCCCTGCTTTAGTTTTCAAATCTCTGCAAATTAGACCAAAAAACCATTTTGTTTTTCCAACGTACATGACTTTTCTTGTGCCCTAACTTGGGAATAACAGATTTGTATTGCAATCAATCAACCCAGTTTAAAGGGGGAAAGGGTCTTAATTAAAAATTGAGTTACTCAGGGGGGAAAAGGCTCAGCTGTTTCCTAATCTAATTATTCAAGAATCGATATACACTATCTGGAAGAAAGTGACGGGACAACTGTAAAGTTTGGTGGAGGAGGATTGATGGTATGGGCCTGTTTCTCCTGGTATGGGGTTGGCCCACTGGTGAAGGTTGATGGTATGATGAATGCCGGTGGATACTGTGATATTCTCGACAATCGTGTTCTTCATACCTTGTGGGTGGACAACATACGGTATTGATGATTGCTTGTATCAAGACGACAACGCAAGATCCCATGTTGCAAGGAGGACTCTTGATTGGTATGTGAACAACAACGTTAAACGCATGGAGTGGCCGGCGAAGAGCCCTGATCTTAACCCATTTGAACATCTCTGGGACGAATTGGACCGTCAGTTGAGGGCCTACACCCCAGTCCCCAAAAGCAAGCATGAACTATGGAACTTCTTGTTAAACATTTGGAAGGAAATTCCTCTTGCCACTATGGCTAATTCAGTGGAAAGCATGCCCAGAAGGGTTGCAGCTGTGATCGCAGCCAAAGGAGGTCCTATTAATTTTAATAAATATGGGTTTATGTCGTTATAGTGTCGTGTCCCGTCACTTTCTTCCAAATAGTGTACTTATGAAATGTGTTTCCAATTCTGGACCAATATTCTGTTCCTTTTCAAAGTTATTTTCAACCTGTTCATAAACTGTTACAAAAATATTTTTCGAAACATATTTCAATTTTTCCAAAACACATAGGTCAANAAATTGGACTTGTTGTCCCTTGAAGCTTGTACCCTCTTTGTTTTATAAATTCAAAGATATATAAATAACAAATGTCACGATATCATTTATCAGTTAAAACTAAAAGTTCTTCGCTATTTAAGTATTCATTATCTTAATTGTATGAGTATTTTTCCTCTGATTTTTCTCCACTTGTATGTATGTAAATATTCATCTGTTAATAATAATTGTTTAATTTTATTTATTTCTATAAAGAATACTCCAGAAACTTTCCAAAGAGCAACAGAGTTGGTAACATTGGCAAGAGAAGCTAGAGTTCCTGTTCTAAGAAAAGCTCTAACTTTTGTAGTGGCTTTAGCTTTGAATCAAGTAAGAAATGTGTTCCTCTCAATAATCTAACAGGGGTCTGTCTGGGTTTTTCTGAGAGGTAACTATTTTGTGAAAATTTAGACATAATTTGTGAAAATTAAAAATACTATTAAAAAATCAACATAAAAATATGAATTTATCGTTTCTAACGGGGTACAAAAATTAAATTTTAAAAAGTATTTTGTGAAACTACCGTTTTTCCTGAAGTTGAATTTGTGAAGGTACCGCTAAGTGGTAGTAAATTTGACCTGGACAGACCCCTGCTTTAGTTTTCAAATCTCTGCAAATTAGACCAAAAAACCATTTTTTTCCCCAGCATCCATGAATTTTCTTGTGCCCTAACTTGGGAATAACAGATTTGTATTGCAATCAAGCAACCCAGTTTAAAGGGGGAAAGGGTCTTTATTAAAAATTGAGTTACTCAGGGGGGAAAAGGCTCAGCTGTTTCCTAATACAGGGTTCCTACACGGTCAGGAAAACCTGCAATAGTCAGGATATTCTAAAATTAATCTAAAAAGTCGGGAAAAAGTCAGGATTTTTCTAACATATTCATAAAGTCAGGATTTTTCTTACATATTCATAATACATATTCATAACATTTATTATTTATTACATATTCATAAGGATTTACATATTCATAAAGTAAGGAAAATAAAAAAAAAAACTATAGTTCATTCAAAGACTGACAGGCAAAAATAAAGTTTCAAGGAAAAATTCTGTAATCTGGTAAAAATCTGTTAGCAAAATTTTTTCCAAAAAAGTTCTGCCAAATCAGGTGGCTGGAAAATCTTCCTTGTGTGGAGTGGGCCATATTAATTTTTGACAACATTAAAAGGTACATAGAAGAGAAAAAAAATTCTCAATCAGCTGGAATCTGAGTAAAAAATGTCGAAGACTGTGTTAAGGATCCGATAATGCTACCAAAATTAGCATTCTTTAAGCTAATTTCTGAAGAATTTCAACCTTTTCTTTTAAATTTGCAGACCTCCAAACCTCTCAGTCAATACTTATATTCCAGTATATCAGAACTAACACAAAATCCTTTGCGGCGATATGTAAAAAAGTCTGTTATAGACAATGCTACAACTGCAAAGAAAATATCAAGTATTGACTTAACAAGCAATGACAATCTATTAAGTGTTAATAATGTGATTATAGGTTTTGCAGCAAGTAAATATCTGAATATGATAAAAAGTAATGTGAAAGAAAAGGGATATTTCAAGTTAGAATGTCGAAAATTCCTTTTGACGACGGTCAAAAAAAGTCCATTGTTGTTTGGTATGACACGTGGCATTTCAAGTTTAGTTCCAGAATTGATCATTCAACATCTATCCATTACTCAACAAAGGATGGATACCTGTCTGGAAATTCTCCATGTTAATAACTGGGTAGATGAAACAACGGCAGAAAAAGCAAATAAGGAATTTTTACTGTTGTGTGATGCTGCCTTAAAAAAGGAGAGAAAAAGAGTTTCTTAGAGTTTAATCCATAGCAACAGAGATAGGAAAAATTTTTTCCGAAATATTTGCACGGAGAAAAAAATTTTTTGTGGGAGGTTATAAAAATTGTTCTTATCCTCTCTCATGGTAATGCAACAGTCGAAGGGGGGGTTTTCAATCAATAAAAGCTTATTGGTCGAAAACCTCAATGAAGACTCTATTATTTCACAAAGGCGTGTGTATGATTATGTTTCATTTATAAATGGAATAAAAAACATAAACATTAATGAAAAAGTGCTAGATGCTGTAAAAGGATCTAGAACAAGATGCAGAAATGCATTAGAAGCCAAAAAAAAAAAAAAAAAAAAAAAAAAAAAAAANAAAAAAGAAAAAAAAAAAAAAAAAGAAAAACGAAGAGAATAAAAAAAGTTGAAATTTCTAGAAAACGAGAAAAAGAAAAGATAGATGATTTGAAATTAAGAAAATCTAAATTGACGAAAGCTGCTGCAACAGAACTGGATGTTCTTGATTCAGAAATTGTCAAACAAAATATGTTGATATTATATAACATAGGAGCTCCTGAGTTTCTCCGGAAGCTTACAGTATTACAGAAGTAAATTTAAAAATACTGAAAAAAAAGAAGATATTTTTGATTTTATTTTTCTCACAAGTTGCATAATTTTTCCATCTGAATTTTTTTTTGGTATATAATTAACTTTTCTTGACTTTTTCCCCTTTATATTTCAATATTATCTTTTAAAAGAAAAGTCAGTTTGAAGTGAATTGGTGATTTTTAAAAATTATTAGCTTAATGTAACAACTGTTCTAGTATGTTTTAAGAGTAAATATTATTTGAGGATACTGATACACATCTCACAGATTTGATTAACCCTTTATATCCTGACGACACTCATGCATTTGGTTCCACTTAACATTAAATAAAATAATATTTCCATAATCCAACAGATTTTCTTGATCTTTTTATTTAAATAGTTTTCGTATCTAACTACAAAAGCACACTAAAAGTTTAATCTAGTAATGATAATTAGTACCTGCAAAAGTCAGGATATTGTTTTCTCAAAATAGTGTAGGAACCCTGTAATATAATTATTCCAGAATCGATATACACTATCTGGAAAAAAGTGACGGGACAACTGTAAAGCTTGGTGGAGGAGGATTGATGGTATGGGCCTGTTTCTCCTGGTATGGGGCTGGCCCACTAGTGAAGGTTGATGGTATGATGAATGCCGATGGATACTGTGATATTCTCGACAATCATGTCCTTCCTACCTTGTGGACAACGTACGGTATTGATGATTGCTTGTATCAAGACGACAACGCAAGATCCCGTGTTGCAAGGAGGACTCTTGATTGGTATGTGAACAACAATGTTAAACGCATGGAGTGGCCGGCGAAGAGCCCTGATCTTAACCCAATTGACATCTCTGGGACGAATTGGACCTTCGGTTGAGGGCCTGCACCCCACTCCCCAAAAGCAAGCATGAACTATGGAACTTCCTGTTAAACATTTGGAAGGAAATTCCTCTTGCCACTATGGCTAATTCAGTGGAAATAATGCCCAGAAGGGTTGCAGCTGTGATCGCAGCCAAAGGAGATCCTACGTCCTATTAATTTGAATAAATATGGGTTTATGTCGTTAGAGTGTCGTGTCCCGTCACTTTCCTCCAAATAGTGTACCTATGAAATGTGTTTCCTGTTCTGGACCAATTTTCTGTTCCTTCCCAAAGTTATTTTCAACCTGTTCATAAACTGTTACAAAAATATTTTTCCAAACATATTTCAATTTTTCCAAAACACGTAGGTCAAAGTCCTCCTATAAATCCTACTTTTCAAATATATTTTTTATTATTGATTCTCTAAGCCTTGATTATTAATTTATTTTTTATTATATTTCTACGGTATATCCTCTGTCCCTAGCAATCTAATTACCACATTCTAAGAAATTACCCTTTTTTTAGCTAGTTGCTATACTTGTTTAGCCATCACCATGGAAAGGGGATTCAGTTGCACTTTTTTAAACAGGTCTTCCTGCATTACAGAGGAACAGCATATGCTAGATTAGTTTTTCCCAACCTTGGGGTGATAAGTATTCAAAGTAAAAAAAATTGAAATTAATAATAACGAAAAAAGGCCAGTGAATATCGAAATTGTAAACATGCGAAACTTATCGTTATTTTTCATACAAAGAAACAAGAATTAAAAAATAAGGGACTTTAGAGGCGTTAGGAATAGGAATTTAGGAATAAAAGTTTAGGAGTGTCTTTGGTATCTGTAAGGTTTGCCACCACTAGATGGCGCTACAAAATATGAACAAAACTTAAGAATTAATTAAAAGAGAATCTCGCTTCTGATGGAGAGTGGTGAAAAAAGGATTAGTATGTGGGAGGAAGGAGCGAAGCGCTTTTTGACGATGTGATTTGTAAATATTTTTATATACTTAATTTTATGTTTGTGATGTGGCATAGTAGGTGTTTAAATAAATTTGTTTTATGCCAAGAAAAGTTTAGTGTGAAAATCATTTCACATTATGAAAATTTGAAAAAGAACCTGCAAGTTTTAGTGTATCGCAGGTGGAAACAAGTAAAAATCTGATCTTCGAGAATAGAAATATCTTCTCTTGAAGGTCCTGATTGTATCTGCTGGGTTATTATACCCCTACTTCTATTCAAACGTTCCTCTCTAATCTCGCCCATTCTCCTTCCAATTTAAAGACATGTCAGAGGAAAAGCCGATTAGTAAACAAGTTTGAAACATTTGTCGCTATACAGCAGTGCAAATCGTCAATTCAGAGAACTGAGATACATCTTTTCTCAAATCCGCCAGTCTTTACTAGTTTGCTCAGTTTACAACTGGTTTTCAAGCATTCACATTGAAGTGTGAAAATTCGCAATTAATTCAAAAAGGAAGTGTCGCCAGTGTTTGTCGAAGTATTTTAAAATTTGGTTTTATTTTGTTACTGCAAAATGTGCAGTTTCCATGTTTTCTTTTGTGCGGCAAAACATTTACTAGTGATGAGGCAATGAACCCCTCTTGAATGAAAGACTATTTAGCAAAAGTATATTGTGACAAAATGAGTAAACCCTTCGTTATTTTCAATATCTCAAAACTATTGATAAACGGCCTAATTCAAGCCTTTAACCCACTGACGGTTCTGCACATAAAAAGTCGCATTTTAACCTGCAGTCTTCTCTGCATAGCAAAACCAGTTTTTCCATGTTAATAGATAGTTGAATAGTGTATAGGGGAGACACATTCTCCCAATTTTACCCATTTGCTTAACCGCCAGTGGGTTAAAGGTGCTTTTTCCACGGGTGTTTTTATAAAGTGCTTAATTTTCCCTTTTTCGAATTGTGATATTTTTCTTTACCATGTTGATTTTCGCCCCCAAATTATGCAAAAAGACATTGTCCTGTTCAATGTTTCATAATTAATTCAACTTCAATCTATTTCAATGTACCGTCGGTCTGTAGTGTATGAAAACACTATTTGTTTTACGCGTTTAATGAAATACTTGCAGGTCCGCACTTGCGTATACTGAACTGGATTCAGTGGTAAGGATTTTTTACTCTCGTATGCAACCCTGCTGCATTTTGCAAGAGATTCTTAATTTAAAACTTTATTTTCCACCCTCTGTAATAGACTCAAAAAATATCTCGAATTTTTGCTGATTATGGGGAGCAACTAAGCATTGTAAAATTTTAAATGTCTTTATTGATAGCTAAATGTGGTAAACCTCACACATTTTGCAAAATTCTTTAAAATAGTTGAAATCATGTCTTTTGAGAGATCGAGTTATAAGATGTGTCACTCGGTTTCTCTGAATAACAATACTGTTGCAAGGGAATCAACCAAATAGCTGCAGATGTCAAATAAAGCTCACCAAATTTTTGTAAGAAGGAAAATTTGCATTGCAGATAGATTAATGAACTGCGACTGATAACATAGCCATTGTATTAGCTTATGTGTGGTTTATCAAAGAGTGTAGGGAGATCAACGAGGAAATGTCGATTTTTAAAATAGTGAAAGATTATTTTGTGGAAAAAGAAATTCTATTAAATATGAGTGCTTGTGCAATAGACGGTGCTCTTACTATCACTGGTCAACATGCTGGGTTTCTTGCTCACTTAAGAAAGAAGTGGCAGGGGTCATCATAATTCACTGTGTCATTCATTGTCAACATTTGGCTGCAAAACAGTTGAGTGGTGTGCTGCATGAAACTTTACAATTTGTTATTTCTGAAATCAATAAGAGCAAAGTAAATTCCCTTAATGACTGTTTGCTCCAGGCATTTTGCCTTGAAAATTATGGAGTTTAAACGCTTGCTCCTACATACGGCCATGAGAGCACTTTAAAAAAGAAACTATTCGTGCCTATGTGTTACTCGGTTGCTGACTTTCACGAATCCAGTGATTTTGTTTTAAGTAAGAATTTGCAGCAATGCATGTTCAAACTTGCTTACCTTATGGATATTTTTTAAAAACAAACAAACGAAATCAACGTAAAGCTTCAATGAAACGAGATAAAGATTATTAAGGCTAAGGGAATCCTATAATCATTAATTGCCAAGTTTGATATCTGCAAGTCAAATAATGGTCATAGAGATTTAATTCAGTTTCCTACCTTTATAAAGTTTTCAATGGCAGATAACTAGAAGACAAAATTTTAATTTTTACTGATCGTCTTGATCTGATAAAAACTGATGGAATCAAGAATTAGAAATTCCCGGTTGGATTTTTGATCTCTTCTCTTTTAAAACTGTAAATAAGCTTACTCCCTCTTTGCAAACTGAATTTCTAGACTTGAAGTATGAATGTGAGGCAAAGGTCGTTTTCAAAAAGTACGCTTACGAGTTCGCTTTGGTAAAGCTTATGAAAACCTAACCATAAATGTGTGGGGGGGAAACTAAACTGCTTTTCATCGCTTTCCCTTCAACATTCTTAGTAGAAAGAGGATTTAGTTTTTTCGTCCAGCTTCTCACAAAACAAAGAAATTGGTTGGGCATTTGTTTTAAAGGAAACCTATGTTTAAATCTAAAAAACATAAAGCCTGACATTCAAGCTTTCACTGAAATATACCAACACAAAGTAGTCATTGAAAAGGGCAGTAAAAATAAAAAAATTCAGTTTTAAAATTTTAATTTTTTTCTCAAATTTTAGGTTCTTAATGATTTCAATTCTTCTAGATTACATTAAAAAATAAATTTTAATTTTTTTCCTTGTTCTGATTATTTTGTTTCAAATATCACCTCTTTTAAAAAAAAATATTTTTAAAAGTGACTGGATAAAACTGCTCCATTATTTGCATTTTAATTAAATTAAAATCAGATATAATTTATCTTATTTTCAGTTTTATTGATGCTCACTAGCAAGGTAAGTTTTTTTTTTTCAAAGAAAAAGGGGCAATATGTGTCAGCCAACCCCTAGAGGAGGGTGATGGGCCACAAAAGGAGATGGTCTTGGTAGTTTTCCCCATCTCCCTTGTAATTTATGGGTTCAATGCATAAATCACTAGAAGCTAGATGTTGAAAACATGTGTCAAATGACATCAGATTCTCTGAAAACTGCAGGTACGCAAAGAAAAAAAAATTTTTTTTGGGGGGGGGCGAAATTTTTTTTTATTTTGATGTTTAAAAAGTGTATGTACGGGAAATAAACCCTTCAGCAAAAACGAGATCAGGATATGGGATTTTATACTATATTATCATAGTTACTTAAAATCATAGCTAATGATTACTTGCTGTAAACTATGATTGCTTGTAATGAATTACATTTTAACTCTCTCTACTCTAGACTGAATTTTATTTTATTCAATCCTTAAATTGTATTTTTATAAATTTTTAAAAATTGTATTGAAATTTAGCTTTGAACTTCAAAATTTTTTTGTTGCAATTCCTTCGTGGTATAAGTTTTTTATTTTTATTTTCTAAAGAATGTTATAAAATAAGATTATTTTGTTATTGTATATGTGCTTGATTCAATGTGTTTTGATAAATTTACAAAAATCAAGTTATATATTTTTTTAGAATAAGCCAGATATTGCCTTGGAAATCCTTTCTAGTATAGACCGCTATAATAATATTACTGGTAATAATCTAAAGGTAAGTCTTTCTTATTTTTCACTGTATTTTCTTTCATATTTTTTTAATGTTTCTGTATCTTTTCCTAATAATTACAAATTTAGTTTTTTTTGTGTGTGTGTGTTGTTAAGTTAGTGTTTTAATGACCTTTTTTTTTCCTTTTACATTTTGAAATAACTATTTTCTTCTTTGCAGTTGTTGGCCTATGCAGGTTTAGGCCGTACTCAAGATGCATTTAGTATTCTTCGTCAAATAACAGACCAAGATGCACCTATTCAATCTAGGATACGAGGTGAAGTTTGTCAAGCAACAGTGAGTAAAGTTAATGTGTAATACTAATCAATAAGTATTTAGCTTATGATCTATATAGTTGACAATTCAGGGATGAAAGACTTCCACAAAAAAGTGGAAATCCGCTTTTTTCTCCCAATTTTTAAAATTTCCGGCCATGTTCCGAAAATTTATATTTTTGGGGAGTCCAATTAGAGAAACCCAAACCGCCTGAATGGTACTTGGTTTAATGTTATTACCAACTCTCACTCCTTGCTTTTAGTCCTATCTTGTTTATTGCTCTTGAATAAAATGTCTGCTTTGCTACATTGCCTGATTTGCTCTGCCCCTGTAGCCCAACATTAAATTTAGTCTTCAAAAATAAAATTAAATTACAATTTTTAGATGACTATCAGCTGTCAAAATTTATTGGAGTGTTGATTATTTCAAAGCTGGGTTGGCAAGGTTTAGGACAGAATGGATTAATCCACGGTTTAAACCCTGGTTTAAACCGTCCTGTCCAAAACTGTCTTAAACTGTCCAAAACCCTTTTACTCAAATTATGTCACAATTTTATCTGAACAATATTTAAGAGGTAAAATAAACATAGAACTAATAACATATTGATAATTAAATATACTAGAGAATATTTGTTTTTAAAAGTATAATGTTTTATTAATATTGTTTGACTCTTCAATTTAAACAAAGGAAGATTAATCAGTAATCAAGTTCAATTGGTCCTCTCATTCAATAGTACATAACTGAAGTTTGGCCTTGCCATACAGGTTAAAATATTAGGGACTAAGTGCTTGGTTCGTCATAAACAGGTTTATTTATCTATAGTACTATTCAAGAATACTTTTATTTCATTCATGTTCAATTCTTTTAGCATAGTGGTGATACATCACCAGTGTCAGTAACTGAAACTGATGTTATGCCCTTCAAAACTGTTAATACATTTTTCAGTTATTTTGTATTTTCAATTTAAACTAATATATTTATATTTAAAAACAATTTTTTTTAAAAATAGATGTCTTTTTTATCATCCTGTAATGCAGAAATTATAAAATTTTTTTAAAAAAAATATTGTGAAAAATAAAAGGTTAATTTTTAAACAAATTTAGTATTTTTTTTAAAAAAAATTATTATTTTTTAATGTTGCACTATTTATCCTTATGCAAAAATATTATTTATCAGTATTAAAAGCATATTTATATTTAAAGGATTAGGTATTCACTTTTGTTGTTCAAAAATTATAAACCTTTTCCTATTACATTACTCGTATATTATTTTCTTTTGATAAGTAAAAGTAAATTGTATAAAAAATATGAAATATTTATTGATACATGTAATTATTATGTGTACAATGGTTACACCTATAGAATTTTTACCTTTTACCAAAGTTCAAGGTTTTGGACAGTTTTACCCAATTTAGGACAGTTTTACCCAATTTAGGACAGTTTTACCCAATTTAGGACTGTTTTACCCAGTTTAAGACAGTAAAACCCATGCATCCTGTCCCAAACCAGTTAAGGACGTCCAAAACCCCAACCCTGTCAAAGATAATTGACGTTTAAAAAAATATAATAATTTTAAAATAGGCATTTTATAGAATTTCATTTCTAAATAAAGGTGAAAAAATAAAAATCTTGTTTGTAAGAATGGTAATATCTTTTTGAAGTTTGAAAATCCTGTTTGCTAATTAGAAATAGACTGTGAGTTAACAAATTCAAGCCTATTATCATAAATTGTGAAAGGCATAGTTTTTGCTTACTTTGTTTATAACTGTTGATTTTTTTTAAATGTTACATTTCATTTCTAGTTGGATGCCATAGAAGAAGCAGTTAAAAAAGTGCAAGACACAGAAACAAGTCATATATTTGAACAGCTGAGCCGTTCATTGAAGGAAAGCAATCTAATCTCCAGCCAAACTATTGATGAACTTGTGTGCCTTCCAATTGAACCAAGAGCATTTCCTCGGGATGACTTTACTTGTAAGTAATTCCTTCAAGTAATTCATTCTTATTGATTGATATCCTAAACAAGTTGCATAGTTTCAAAAATATTTAAATTATAAAATATTTATTATATTTGTACTTTGAATGTATTTATGTTAAGGCTTTCTAAGTTGCTTACCCAATTAATAAAACTTCTTCACCTTATATTATTCTAATGAGTTGGATCAAAAAAGTNACTTTTGTAACTTAGTGATAATAGTGCTTGAAAAGTTTTTAAAAAGTGCTTATTTTTGATTCAAAGATTTGGCTACGCACCCTGTGCTGGAGTACAGTGCAAAAATTGCATCCAACTCCTGAACTTAAACGAAAAAATTCGTCATCTTATGCTAGTTTTTTTAAAAAAATTATGACAATGTTTTTCACTGGTTCTAAATTTAAGTCTGAATAAGATTAAAGAAATATAATATCTATTTAATTTAACTTCATTCTAGTTGGATGCCATAGAATAGCAGATGCCATAGCTAGTTAGAGTGCTACTTTTATTTTTATATTTTCATTAAGATCAAAATGGTTCCTGTTTTTCCTATTGTGTATTATGTGGCTATTCTTTCTAAGTGGGCACAATTTTGTAATTAAATTATATCAAAGAAAAAGAAAAGCCCTTTTTATTATTTAAAAACAATTTATTAATGTTGCTAAATTTACTCTTTGCAATTAGGCTTGTGTTTGCGCATACTTGTTCTAATGAAGCACCTATAGACAAATTGCTTGAATCAATCAAGACAGTGTGATATTCACTAGATTAGGGGTGCACAACCTGCGGCCCGCGGGCCAAATGCGGCCCGCCAACCTTCAATGTGCGGCCCGCGGCTTCAATATGAACAAAATGGAAAAAAAATAGTTTTTTTCTTTCTTATTATTTTTGAAAAAAAAATCGGATATTTGAAATTTACGCATTTAAGTTTTTGACGCACCCAATTTCAATCAATTTCAATACAATTTTCGATGGTCAACGCTACGAATTTGTGTATAGTTTTAAAAATTTCTTAAACGCCATTATTACAATATACGAATTTTAGTTAACACTTTTGATGCTTTTCGTCTGTACCGATTTCATCGTAAATCCAATGACTTTTCGGTAGTTATTGCTACCCATTTTCACGTAGTTACTGAAATTGCGATTTTTGAAACGTTTTATTTCTGCAAACTTCATGGAAAATCTAAATGACTTTTAATCCTTTATTCGGCAGTTATTGCTACACATTTCCGCATGTTTTAANCAATTTGGGGGGAAAATGAATGGAGTAATAATTTACTTTCCGATGAAATGTTTCCCTTTTTCTTTATTGCTCCCACAAATCTCACTTTGAAATTGCTAGCTACTCTATACTAACTTGGTTGCTAAGGAAATTACTAGGTCAGGTTAGTTTTGTTAGTCGATTATTAATGGCAAAGCCATGCTGTTCGTCTCAAGGTACAACTATCTCCCCTATAATTGAACCTATTCATTTAAATTGTGGTAAACAGAAAGCTGTAATGTGCACAGAATAAAAGCCCTGTCCTTCATGGGTTACAATTTAGTCTTTTTGTACCTCTGATCAGGCATTGTTCATGGTTTAATTAAAATTATAATAGGCTATTCAATTACATAAGCAGTTATTTTAAGAAACAAAATGTATATTATTTACAATATTTTGTTTCCATATAAATTTAGTTTGAGAGCTTTTTATATTTTGCATTAAATTACAGCTATTTTTATAAATGCAAAAAACCAATTTACTTATTATTTTTAGTTGGACAAAGAAATCGCCGGTTTTCCGACCAAGGAGGAGTTGGACGTAATGTTCTTTCTTTTTTTAAGAATTGATTTAAAATATAAGGTAAATATTTATAATATATATTGAAACTATTTTTATTCCCCAGTTAATCAAAGAAATCGTCGTTTCCCGGAACAGTCCATGAGAGAGAGAGAATTTTCTGATAACGATGGAGGATTTCCCAGACGCAGACGTTTTGCTGGAATCGCAGATGATTAGTTTTGTTTATTGAACTTGTTAAAGAAATAAATAAAAAAGTTGTCATTTACTCTGGCATTGTATTATAACATAAAATGCAATTTTTTAGCTTTCATATTTATCAGCTGAATTACAAATATCACAGGATGATGAATTAGTAATCCAAGTGTCAATTCTTATGTATAGTTATAGGTTGAATAAAATTTTTGTTCTCAACTGTCTTTACATTTTTATCTAAAAATATTACTCAAACTACTTCAGTAAAACTGACAAATAAATGTGTATAGTTAAAATTAGGTCCTGATTTTGCGTTTCTGATTACATAGTTTTATCACACTCTGCCTTTTTAATTTACAGTACTACTGCTTAGAAAAGAAAAAAAATTCACTTGTATAAATATTTCCTAAAAATAAATTTTAGATTATATCTAACAGTATACAACAAAAAGTAGGCCTTTGCTCATTAATTGATTTACAATGTTATACCTAACAAGGTAACTTTAAAGCAATATATTTCTAAAGATGCTACTGCATTTTTTAAAACATACAAAAGCATAGATGCAGAAAAAATATGGATTTTAAAATGTGTTGTTTGCAATTATTTACTAAATTCTTTCCTGTTTGTGGACAGCGCTATTGCTCAATCATTTTTGTGTAGTGTCACTAAAAGTGCATTTATACTGTTTTCCAAAGTATCAACTCTTTGATCAAATTAAACAGTCTGTTAAAACACAAAAATATTATGTAGGCTGTTAGTTTGAATAAATTCAATGCAGATCTAGTTTGAAAACATTGTTACAAATTTAATCGAGCGACGACTAACAAATACACCGAAGAGTAAAATTAAAAACCCTTTGCTCCCTCCTAAGATGCACATACTGTGTCATCTATTGAAAGATAAAAATTAGTTGTTTCCAATCCCAGCTGGGATAGCGGTGCTATACCAGATCCATGAGGCCGTGAATCTTCAAAAAGGAGAGGTCTCTCAAGAATCTCTTCCATGGTGAAATCCAGGCAATCAAGTAGATGGTGAGGATTAGCCTCGCTGGAGTTGCACTTTTTACAAGATGGAAAAAGTTTAATTTGTCCACTGAGAGTGAGGCTTTTAGTATGCCCCCTGACAAATCTACAGGTAGCGGTCTGGTCGGCACGTGTACACTGAAAGTCAAGGGCTCCTCCAGGACGCTTGCGGGAATACCAATTGTGATCCGGTGGAACAAGCCAAGTTTTATTAACTTTAGATTTGCGGATAGAAAATAATTCAGAGTAAGTGAGGGCCGTGTTTGGAGAGGCTGGGAGGGAAGTGCCTTCTTATGCCAACTGATCAACACGTTCGTTGCCAAAAAGACCCACGTATGAAGGTATCCAATGAATAAGGATGTCATTGGAGACTGAGAGGGCATTTAATAAACGAAGTATAGAGACCCCAGCCCGGTGTTTAATGGAAGGAGATTCAACATCCTCCAACCGCAAAAGATTTAAATTTATCAAAAGTTGTAAGTTTAAATATTAAGTTTAGAAACATAAAACTAAATGCATAATATGTATATATCAGTAGAAAACTTTTCAAAGGATATTAACATAAAATTTAATGCTACGATTTAATAGCTTTACTTTCAGTACCTGTCGTCTCCAAACTAAACAATCGCCGAAATGGTTGAACAATTTCGCCATTCTGAGTTCTAACTCTTGCAACTTGGGGGAAACACCCTCAAATCCTTAATAAATTTCAAGGATTTTGGCTAAAGGATAATCGATATGTTTCTCATTATATGAATTGATTAAAATAATATTTAAATTGACAGTGCCCCCCCCCCCAAAAAAAAAAAATTTTGCTAACTTCCGACTTCCATGTTAGCTTGTTCGAAATAGTGCTACTTAGCTTGCTTATAATATGACAATGCTTCTTTTATTTATGTACTTAAAAAAAAAAGAACATTTTTCCGTCTAAATTCCCCCCCCCCAAACTATTCATTTTATTTAGTGTAAAAATCCCCCCCAAGCTTTAAGTGGGCGCATCGTGCACCAACCTTCCCCCCTGATGGGGGGCCCCTGTGAATTGATTATACAATGATGAGAACGTGAAAGAATGTTTCAGAAGGATTTGTATATTATTTTGATTGAAATCTACGACAGATTTCAGTCTGATCCTGTAAAAAGAAAGATGGTGTTAATGGCACTAGATCTGAAGGTTCTTGGGAGGTAAGAGGTGTACCATTGTAGCTTCACAAACAATAGTACATAGTTTTGTGTAATCAAAAGACGCTTTTCCTAAATTTCATCTCTGCAATTCTTTTACTGTTCTCTCCGGGTGGGTTGAAATGCCAGGGGATTTCATTCAAACCCGAGTGAACAATGATGGTATTCCAGTTTATATTTTTGAGCTAATTTTTTGCACTGATAAATTTTGTTTCGTTGAAATGTATGGCACGGCACACTTAAAGATTATAATCCAAACCTTGTCACGATTCTGCAGAACTAAAGGACCAGCTAGATCCATCTCAGTAGTTACGAACACATTTGCACACTTTTTCGGGAACAAGAGCAAACATCAACATCATTGTAGGTCTCGACTTATATCTAACACAAATTACATACTTGAAAACAACTATTTGAGAGGTTTTTCTTGATTGCAAAAACCAGTATCTATCACGCAGGTCTGTGACAAGTGTTAGTACACCGATATGACTAGTCCCGATGAAATTGAAAACAAGTTCACGCCTGTCTGGCAGAAAGATAGGCCGTCTAAAAATAGTCACTGGTCGAAACTAGTTTTGCTTAGTTGCCAACATGGATAGGATAGTAGATTTTACGAAACAATAAAAATTTCATGATAATTGTTACAGAATGTACTAAATATTTTACACATAGGGAATTTTATAGTCATTAAAATAGAAAAACTGCAATATTTTCCAGTTATGATTGACATTAAGCATACTTGAAATGTTAAGTATTTTGTTTACTCATAATTTAATTATGAATAGTAATAGGCATTTAATTCATCAAAGACAGTTAAAAAGAATTTTTTTTTAAATTTAAAAAGAGAGTTCGGAGTAAAAATAAACTAAACATTTTAGGGAGAAAAGTTTTGCCTGATTTCTATAAATAAGGTTTGCTTCATTATGTATTAATAATACTTATTTAAATAAGGATTTTCTAAAATGTGCAAAAACCAGGAGAATTTTAATTAAACCAGTAAATCACAAGAAACTGGCAAAATACAGTGGAGTTGTCAGCTATGGTTTTGTCTCAATTCTAAGAAAGCCATTGGAGTGGTTGTATAAGTGGACAATTTTTTCCCCAAATGTCTCTGTATGATTTCCCAAATGTCTCTGTATGAGTATTTTAATCTCATATATGTTGAGCTTCTGTTAATTTACCACTGACTTAACATAGGAGGTAAATCGTTTCACATAGGCCAAAATTATAACAATTGCAGAAAACATCGAAATTTGTTGGGTCGACTCGAAAAAATTACATTCAGAATCATCAAACTAAAAATTCGTTGTAACTAAAGGTTTTTTCTCTACAATAGCAAGTTCTGAAGCACAATTTTTTAACCATATGGACCCCTCCCCTCAACAAAGACTAAAAGGAGAGTTTGTGCATTGCACCACGAGAAGCAACGTCCACAGCATTAATTTGAGATGGGATATAATACTAATTTTCTTTCGAAGTCAAGTGAATTTCTTGTATTCGTTTTTTCACAAATGTCTTCCATATTTCGGGATTTTTAATCCAACAAACTATTTAGAGTCTGTCCAGTAGAAGGTTTGGATAGAATAAATGTTGTCTTAACTAGAAAAGTATCAATCAGTGCAGGGAAAAGATCCAATTTTGGGAATTGACATTTCAGTTTTAATTTTCATGATGGGATCCTTCTTTGGAGGAGCGACAAGCGATTTTGTGTGCACCAATCGAATTATAACTTTATTTTCTCCTTCAATTTGCAAAATCGCATGAGCAGCAGAGGCTTTCTCCAGTAGTATCACTTAACAAATGGATAGTAGTTGCTGATGCATTAATTAATATCCCAAAATAACACGGAATTTGAATTAGTTTTAAAAACTCTAAGATAGAAAGCGAAACTTTAAATTCTTTCACTATTTCAGATTTCCCCTCGAAAATTGGGTTTCCGAGAAGTCCACGAATGAACATGTAAATTAATTTGCCTAGCACAGTTATTCTCCATGTTAAAAATGTCGCCTTAATGTGGTTTCAAGTTTTTTTATTTTGGGGATTGTTTTTAATGATTTGAGAAGGGCAGGTGTTTAAGTTATATCACCGTAGATATAAAGACAGATAATCGTTTTTAATACTATTTGCCTTTATACAAATTCTGTTGTAAACTGTAGCATAGAAAAATAATGATGCTCTTTGTGGCAACCAAATGCACACACACAGTAATAATGAATAAAAATTTTATTATACAGTATAATACATGTGATCACTCTTCTTGTACAATATGTTTAACACGTTCACTAACATATGGTACAGTACCAGGTTTGCTGTGTGCTCTTCTGTTGGCCTCCCTAAAAATATGACAATATAATTAACAAAAAGCAGAAATAAATTTAATTGATTGACAGATATTTTTATTTTGATCTAGTTATTAAAAGAAAACCAAAAATTATAAAAAACTTAGGTATGCAAATTTTTTTTCAAAGAAGTTATTATTAAATTTATTTTTAATCTATATATTATAAAAGATAATGGAAAAGAAGAATTGTTTAAATCTTCCAAAAAGGTTGCATTTTGTACACATTTGGAATTTGATAATTTTTTAATTTAAATGTCAAAATATAACGAACATTTAATAAGTTCTAAAACAAAATCTTCTAGAGTTTAGAAAAACTTATATTGTATACTGATGGAAATTGCTTAAAATATTTAGCTATTTTTGTTAGAAGTAAGTAAAAGCTAATTTCGCTACTCTAAAAAATTAAATAAAGGTAAAGGATAGGAATAAGTATTCTCACCTGCACATTTCCGATCATTTTTTGTGCTACTAATTTTTGAATTGTAAACTTTTAATTTTTTTTTTTTAATTTGGTAAGCAAGTTGTGTCTCTTTTCAAAATATAGTGAGCAATTAAATGTTTAACTGGATTCAGTTCAGTGTAGGACCAGGATTCTTTCCTGTTCTGGTTATTTAGAGAGCATACTGGTTATTTAGAAAAAAAGAAATGGAGCATGAAAATCTTTGAGCAAACTGGTCTAAGAAGCTAACAAGTTTTAATCTTATATTTCTCTACCTTAAGATAAAGTGTGAATTTAGCAGCAATTTTAAAGAAGTACTACAGTTATGTCACACTACTTTAGAATTAATTTAAAATTGTTTTAATTTCTAAATCCTAAAATACTCTCTCTTTTCTTTTTGTACTGTTTTAGGTAGAAACATTTTATTTTAAAATAAGTAAAATATTGTAATTATATGAGCATAATAAAAAAAATACTGCCATTTCCACATTGAAATTGCAGAAAAAGAAATAAAAATGATTTTTTTTTTCAAAACTAATTATTTAAATAAAAAAAAAAAAAAAAAGGTTGGGGGGAGTTTAAAATTTAAGAACTTTTCCAATTTGCGAGCAACTAAAACCTGTCAAACTCCAAGACCTTCCTTTAGCTCAGATTATCAAAACAAATTCCAACCAAATAAACTTACTTTCTCTTCTTAGATTCAATAATGGTTCTGTGTTCCTTTGCTGCATTGTACACATGCTTAGGTACATGCCTATGTCTTGCGATTCTCTGAACTTGTGGATGCCTGCCGAATTTTTCTTTAAGTTTTTCTGCGTGGTTAAGGGCCATTCTTTCTCTATATGACATCTATAAGAAACAAAAAATCATTTTTCAGATTTAAAGTGGCATACACACATTAATTTTTAATATAACATTTCACTCTCACTGGTAACCTGTTCATTTTTTCCCAAACAGTTACTAGAATTTTTTTTCCCTCTGATTAAAAATAATTACAAATAGTCTGATCACTGTTTATAATAATGGATATTTAATTTATTTTATAACTCTTTCTTAAAATATTTCAATTACAGTTCAAATTTGTTTTGAGCTTCCATTACATTTGAGGAAATCAAATGACACAAGCTTAACTGCTCTCTAATATATATTGAAAACAAACAGCAAAAAATTTGAAAAACTATTTGCATCAGGTTGGATTGAGCAGTCAATTTTTAATAGAGTTGACTTTAATTAGCATTATTGAGCAAGATTAAAACCATATAGTCTTTTCCCCAAGTAATTTGGTAGAAATCAGTTTATTTGTAAACCTAAAAACTGCATAATATACTACCTGGATCAATATAAAATTTATTCTAAAAGCAATGCAACATTTTATGACACAAGTAATCAAAAGGTTACATATTAATAAAATTATAATGACTATGAGAAGTAAAATTGTTCTATCATGAATGTAGTAAGAACTGTACATCATATGTAGAATGTAATGGCAGTATATATATTTGCAAACACTTCTAATATAATAACAATATCTATATAAAATCTAATATCTATAACAAAAACAACTAATTTTAATCTTCATTGAATTTAAAAAAACAAATAGGATACATCTTTTATAAAAAGTAAAAGTTCTGTACTATTTTATATATTGAATTCTCCCCAGTAATAAAAAAGGGCACTCAATTAACACCATGAAAATGTGTAATATTATGTAATAACTGAATTTTATCCTTAACAAATTTAAATTACCCTCTTATACTATTTCATGATGATATTTCAAAAACTAATTTTCCTCCCTCATTATCAAAATAAGAGAAAAATTTGTAGTTCATAAAAATAATTAAAGGCTTGCTAAAAGGCAATCTCCGTGATATTTTTTTTTCAGAAAAAAGTAAACCAATAATGATTAATTGATAAACAGTTTGAAAGCTTTTTCTACAATTTAAATGGAAAATTATGAAAAAATTAACATTTAAAGGCATATTTTTTTAAAAAGGTATTAAAAGTAGTTTTAAAATCAGTTAAAAAATTTATTAATTTACCCCCTTGAAAAAAGATACTTATAAAAATTTAACCAGTTAAGAATAATCCTAACAAAGTAAATATTTGTAGTAGCATTTGGAACTAAACCTATAAACACAGATAATTTTACCAGTGTGTGATTATTTTTGAAATAGTGAATAATTTTTTTTCTTCAAATTGGAATAAAAGGCAGTGTCTTTAAAGGACGGAGGTTTATTTTTTTACAAAAAAGGCAAATACTGTACATTTATTTGGATCAAAGGGCAAACAGGGTGGCCTGCCCTTAAAAAAAATTTAGGGAGAACACTGTATCTACAAGAATGAATTTATTTGAATTTAAACCAGTTGATTCGAATGAATTAAAAAAAAATAAGCTTCTGTAATTTTATTTCATATTATTGAAAAAATATAACTGTGACAAATAGTTTGATAAAGTTTACAAAAAAGTTTAAGGCTAACTTATGTATCAAATAGAAAAAATACAAAATAATAAAACTTACAGAGCCTAATTTTTCTGAAGCCTTGGCTTTCCACATTCTTATATTCATTTCATCAGAACCAGTCAAAATATATTTGTTATCTAAGGACCATAGAACAGACGTAAGCCTCTGCATACGTTTTGTGTGATAGACATCTCTAAAATGAAAAAAACAAAATCAATATTTTGAAATAAGAAAAATAAAAACAACAGGATCTTTTATGCTCAATGATATGATTAATATGATAATAATTATAATAAAAAAAAAAATATTTTCAGAAATTATTTAATCAGTGAGTAAAATGGGAACAAAAAAGTATTGCAGAGGAAGAAGAGGAGTAAGAAGAGAAAGTAAGCCTCTGCATACGTTTGGTGTGATAGACATCTCTAAAATGCAAAAAACAAAATCAATATTTTGAAATAAGAAAAATAAAAACAACAGGATCTTTTATGCTCAATGATATGATTAATATGATAATAATTATAATAAAAAAATAAATATTTTCAGAAATTATTTAATCAGAGAGTAAAATGGGAACAAAAAAGTATTGCAAAGGAAGAAGAGGAGTAAGAAGAGAAAGTAAGCCTCTGCATACGTTTTGTGTGATAGACATCTCTAAAATGCAAAAAACAAAATCAATATTTTGAAATAAGAAAAATAAAAACAACAGGATCTTTTATGCTCAATGATATGATTAATATGATAATAATTATTATCAAAAAAAATATTTTCAGAAATCATTTAATCAGTGAGTAAAATGGGAACAAAAAAGTATTGCAGAGGAAGAAGAGAAAAGTCAACATAGTTTCATTCAATAACAATAACGATTAATATTTAATAAAGAATACTGATGGATTTACCTCTGAAAAGCGAGTTGATCACCCACATAATGAAATAATTAAGATAGATGGAGTAGATGAAGAAGAATTGGTGCATTAGGCTGGTTTTCCCCTATCAAGTTATATTTTTTTATATTTCCACATTTTGGCCATGACCCTTTATATTTTACTAACTGTTTTGTTTATTGTTTTTAAATATTAATTATTAAATCTTTTGTTGCTGCTATTATACTTGGATTCAAACTGGGAATACTGGGTTTATTTCAAACCCAGTATTCTCGTCACAATAAGTTTTAATGAAAAACGAATAAGTTTTTATAAAATTCTAGATTAATTACTGAGAGCTTTTACAATTATGTTTTTTATTGTTTAAAATTCTAATAATAAAAAAAACGGTTTCAAAAATTATTCAATGAATGAGTAAAATAAGAACAAAAGAGCATTGCAGAACATGTTTTAAGAAGAGAAAAGTCATAGTCTCAATAAAAATAACAATTAATACTTAATCAGTTTTAATGGAATAAGAAGAAGTTTTGATAAAATTCTAGATTAATTGCTCAGAGTTTTTAAAATTACGTTTTTTTATTTTTTCAAATTCTAATTATAAAAAAAAATGTTGTTCACATAAATTTTTTTTCATTTGTTTCCTTACCGACTTCGTCCAGATTTTTGAGGAAATATCCTAATAGTTTTGTCATAACTTCCTGAAACAAATTCTTTTCCTGTAGGTGAATAATCCACGTCTAAGACTAAAAGAAAAAAATTTAAATCTTTTTAAAATATATGAACAAAACATTAAAATTTTTAAAAAAGTTAGGTAGGGAAACATTTAAATTCAGGATGTTTCAGCATTTAAAATTTAGTACTCTAATAAAAAATAAAGCTATTATATTTAAGCTATAACCATTATCCTTATTAAGAATTAAATTTCCTGAATCTTGAAAAATGGTCAATTTAATATCAAGGAGAAAAAAAAGTTACATTTGCCATGTAACTCATTACTCAGCACTGAAAAAATTTTTTAAACTGAAAAATGCACATTTAGAAGTATATTCCTGGATAATCTTGCAGTTAACATAAATGAACTGAAATTTTTATTTTTTGAGACATGCATAATTTTATCAATAAATTTCAAAACTTACATTATTTTTTAGGAAATGGTAAGATACAACAGCAGCCAAGCAATATTATTTTAATTTCAAACATGATCTGCATCCTTATATGGCAATACTTTTACTTGTTTTTTCCTTACTTTTTTAGGAAAAAGTACAAGTATTTGTAACGAGAGTGTCGAAAAAAACAATAGTAATATAAAAATTGATGAATAAAATATTTATATAGTGTGCATAATTTTATTACAATAAGGATATAAATATATCACTTTAACTGATTAAATTTTTTTTGAGAAAGTCCCTATTCATATGTAAGAATTATTACCAATTCTTACATAAATTTTCTCCTAGCAAAATCTTTAAGTTAAAATTGTGATTATGCAAAATTATTTACCAATTCATAAAATTAAAATATTTAAAAAAAAAATTTTAAAAAAATGAAGAGACAATGTAGTGGCAATACAAATTTTGATTGAAGTTAATGTAACAACAATGTAGTGGCATTAACTTCAATCACAATTTGTATCCCCATACACATTACAGAATAGTAAATATAGCGAATCAGTATAGATATAATAGACAATTGTTTAGCTATAAAATATTTAACCATGATAAGTAATAAAAAAAGTAACTACACAAAGCTGGAAACAATTATAAAGATAACAAAATAAAATGTAGTAAAATATAATATGCTGTATCATCAAAAACTATCCTTTGCACCAATTGAGAGCAAATGATAAAAAATTTTTTGATTAAAGTTCACTTTATCTCTCATCCCAAACAAAGCAAATAGTCTTCAATTTACTTTGTCCCCATATTATGAGAGGATTAAAATATAAATAGAAAAATGAGTGATACATATTTTAAAATTTGTTTTCAAAAATATAGAAACAACTGAAAGAAATAGTAGTAAAGTACTAAAGATTAAATATAATATATAAGTGCTTTAAAAATAAATTAAAAAAAAATATTTAATATAGATTTCACGAATGAAAAGTTTCAGAGCAGAAAAACTCCTTGCTATATAGAATTGAAAATTTTTTCAAGACATTAAATTGTTATCTTCCAACTTTAATTCTTCAAGGCAGCTTAAATTTTGAAAATCATGTTTCTACTTGAGAAGAAACATTATCTACATAATCTTTGAAAATGTTTCTCAATAAAATATGGTAAAAAAACAATATTGAATATTGCTTTTAGAGTCTTTAACCTAGTATTATTGAATAAAAAATAGCTTCATCTAAACCTGCAAAGATTCACGTCCAATTTATTTATTCTAAATTAAAACTTAGAAATTCCTGCAACAACACAAGAGATATTGAAGGTGCTACTTATAAAGATCAACAAAATAGTTCCTTCAATGGTTTAAAATTATTTTTAATGTAAATTAACAAATTTATTAATTTTACTTTTTCAAAAAATTTTTATTTCAATTAATAAAAGTAAAATATTTTGCCATAGTAGGGAAGTGTTTTATCTCGGCACAGTGACAATTTCTAAGAATCAAATGGCAACATTATTATTTTTAATCTTAATTATGACCTTAACCAATAGAAAATATAACAATGAAAGTTAGCATCTAAAGTAAACAAATGTTTTTACGAATAAAAAAATTGTGTCTCTCAGTAGTGACACCTTGAGGCAGCTTGTAATGTCTATTTTAAGTAACTGGAAAAATTTTATTTTAAATTTGTTTGAGACAGAAAATTTACACAAATTTAAATGTAGATGAATTTAAAGGTGGTCTTCAGATTGTAAATCTGATTAAAATTGTGAGAGCCAAAAATTAAGATGGGAAAATTTTCTTAGGTACAGGAATCCTCCTTATTATCAATATCAACAATAATAAATTCTTTTTCATTTTTACTATATTTAAAAGATCAATATGTTTAAAACAAATAATAATGATTTAAAGGATATAACATGCATAATTTAAAATAAAATAGGCATCATAAAGAAAAGCTATACTGTATCAAGGAATGTTTGATATTCTTTAATTATATGAAATAATTACCAGCTGAAGTGTGATCTTTGTGTATTTGTAGAGGCATTGTTAGTTTTCGCATGTCAAAAGAATACAGGCTAAAAAAATATGAATTATTACAAAAATAACAAACAAATTGTACAAAATTCAAATGACTTTTTAACAGAATACATAGTACAGATACAGAGTACATAGAATACTACAAAACGTTGCAGTTATAAATTAGATATAACATTCAAACTTTCAAAGCAAGGCAAAAAAGAAAGTATTGCATTAAATTCAAAAGTTAATATACAAGTTAAAGAAGAAAACATACAAGTAAAAAAAAGAAATGTAATATAAATTATGTTGAGGCAAAAACTAACTAATGTGCTATTTTATAATGAAATATACAACATCTATTCTAAAAAAAAGAGAGAAAAAAAACCTACATTTTGTAAAAATATTTATTATAATATTCTAGTAAAACAAATTGAAAATCTGAATTTTAAAAGGCAACCACATTTTGAACTTTGTCTATGGTTTAAAAGATTATAATAGTTCAATACTACCATATGTTCCATAGGTAAGGCACAAAAATTATTATTTTTCTTTTTTTTAAAAATCAAAATATTTTGTATCTTTATAGTAATGAAAATTTTTCATATAGCTTTTTCTACATTTTATTACAGTGCTAATTTCTGATTATTCAGTTTATATATATATATATATAATTTTAAATCTGAATAATAAAAATGATAAATAGAAAAAAGTATAATACAATATTAGACCTCACATTAATTATAAATATATTTATTTACTTTAATCTTTTATCAAAAATTGGCAAGTTGAAAAAGCTTCCATTTCCTTCAGGGAAAAAGTAATTTATAATAAGCAATATACATACTAAAAATTTTTTTACCTCATCTTAAAAATTTTAAGATATATTATTACTATCCCTTTATAAAAACACTCTGTATTATAAATGGTATCAAAAGAGGAAAAAAATATGGAAAGTTAAGAAAAGAAGAATTTACTTATAATCTTCAGATGCAGAAACAAAAACAAATGCTTCCATTGGATTCCAAGATATTGCATTAGAACACAAATCCATGGTGACCTAAAAATAGGCAATACTTTAAACATTTGCATATTTTTTTACTACCATTTTCTTACCATACTATAAAAATCTAATAAAAAGCACCAACAGATGAAAGCCATTTTTTACATACTGAGTGCATTTTAAGAGTGCACTTTCACAGAGCTCAACACTCTATGCACTTTAACAAAGTGCACATCCAAGTGTACTTTAACAGAGTGCATTTAAATAATTTTTTTTCTTTTTGCATCTACTGACGAGTTTAGTAACAACATTTTAAACTTGGTCAGAATAAGTAACTACACTCGATAACAAAAAAATCAACGCACCAAGAAGCAATCATCCGATTGGTTTGAAATTTCGTATGCAGCAATGTTTTGAACAGATATGGCTGGAATGATGCCGACTGGGGACGCATAGTCTTTAGCGACGAATCCCGCTTCCAACTGTGTCCTGACGATCATCGAGTACGTTTTTGGAGACGCACATAGCAGAGGGGGATCCTGCCTTCACTATTGCACGCCACACCGGCCCTCAACAAGGCATTATGGTCTGGGGTGCCATTTCCTTTGACAGCCGGACCCCTATGGTCGTCATTAGAGGTACACTTACTGCTCAGCGGTACATCGACGAGATCCTAAGACCTGTTTTGCTACCGTTCCTTTTGCAGCCCCATGGGCTGGTTTTTCAGCAGGACAATGCCAGACCACATACGGCACGTGTTGCTATGAACTGTCTGCAAGCTAGTCTTCCTTGGCCTGCCAGATCTGTCTCCCATGAAGCATGTCTGGGATATGATGGGAAGGCGATTGCATCTGGCACGGAATGTTGATGACCTCGTTCGACAATTGGATCGAATTTGGCAGGAAATACCGCAAGAGATCATCCTGGAGCTTTATCGGTCTATGCCACGTGGCAGCTTGTATCCAGGCTAGAGACGGGTCAACACCTTATTGAACTTGTTACTGTAACTCTGCAATAAATTATTCAATTGTTTTGAAATTTTAATCATTTACTATTCTGTACATTGTCTTCCTATCCACCAATTTTCGTTTCAATCGGACAACTCCTTCTTGGTGCATTGATTTTTTTGTTATAGAGTGTAGTTTCCTAAGCAGAATGCAGCTCCTTGTAAATTGTTATCACCTGCCGTTCTTCTTTAATTGATTTTCAAATTATTGGTTATTTTTAGACACACAAATATTATTATATAAAAAACTGAAGATAAATAAAAGTCAAAATGATATAATAGTTTCTTTTAATAGAAGGAAGTAAATTTTTATTCCTTACTTTTCTTAGAGGATTGGCTTCTCTTACATCATATAGAACTATGCTCCGATCACTGCATGTGCAACCAAAGATATTAACCTATAACAAATTGAAAAGATGAGTTTTATTATTAGTATTTTTAAAACAAGTAACTTTACTGCACCAGCCAGTCTCACTTAATTGAACACTAAATATTTAATTGACTAGTATGAGTTAAAATTTGTCTTACTAGTCTATATTTCTTTTTAATTATAAAAATGAAGGTCTGACTGTATGCTCTAAAATTAAACTTTAGTTTTATATCTAACTACACAATGGTATTTGTTTGTGAAAACTGAATTAAGATTAAACAGTTTGTTCATTACATCTGTAAGAGAATTACGCTTCTGTAATGTTTTGTGCCTAGAAGCAAGATATTTGCCAACACATTTTCTGATGAGGTGAAGATGACCATATAACACTAAATAACAGAACATTAGAAAAATAATTAAATATTAGTTAAACTTTATGAAAAAAAAGGAAAATTATGCAAATTTTCACCTTTAATTAATTAAAAATAATTTTAAAAAATAAATTTTACTTTATTAAGCATTAAAAAATAAAAAGATTACTTTAAATAAAATTGAAGGAAAAAAAATTGGTAATTGGAAAATTTAAAATAAAAATAATAAATAAATAAAAACCAAAATTTAATTATGCTTTAGTTTACTTAAAATACAATTTTAAATTAAAATATAACTATTAATAAAAAAGGTAAATATTTCTACAAACCTCAATAGGATTGAACTTGATAAATTTTACAGTATCAACACCCCATGTGAGAGAACGTAAGGGTTCTGATCGAGTACTTTCCCAAATATCGACTTTTTCACCACATGTAGCATACATAGATTGCTTTCGATGATGATCTATTCCACTAACAACAGTCTGAAAAAGAAAAAATTCGTAATCAAGGGTTAACTCACGTAATAAAATAATACAATGAATTAGTAATTATTTACTAGTTCAATTCTAGAATAGAATTTCGACACTACACAACAGTACAGTTAGTGCAATTTTTAAATTTAAAATTGTCCCACAATACTTTGTTGGTGATATTGTTCCACAGTATTTCTTCTGCATGAGATTCTATATCGCAATATTTTTATCTATGTGAGATTGTGCATAATAATACGACTGAACAGCTACAATATATTTTGACAGGATATACCTTGTGTTTTCTTTTATGCTTTGGCAAGAAAACATTACTTTATTTTTGCAGTTACTAAATTGTTATAAAATATTAACCACAAATGAAGCATAGATCCATGTCCTCGAAAATACATGAAGATGTCATTTTTTTTACATCTGTATGGACACATATAACAATGACTGAAAGTAGATTATTTTTCAATCTCATGCCATTAATCATACAAAGTTTTGAAAGTAGAATATTTAATGGAAATTTGACTTCTGACTAATAATGAGATTTCAATATTTACAGTTTAATCTAGTCAAGATAAATTGGAGGTATCCCAAAGTTTAAAATCTGTGAAATAATATAAATAACAGGTAAAAGAAGTTTCTTACTTTATCAATAAAAAATAACTTATCAATAAAAAATAACTAATTAATAAAATAGATGAGTGGTTAATGTATTGTTGGCATTTAAATTGTTAATATATGGATAAGTTTGACACTGTAAAGAAAATTAAGAATTTTAAAACTATTTAGACAATTTTAGAAAACTTTTATTTGTTCTCTTATTCATGAAACACATTTTTGGCTTTATCTCATAACGCAGAGTAAACAATAATTATCATTTCATACTTCCCTGTGTTGCACTAAATGCTTGTATAGATTTTGTAATGAGAGTCCAAGTCTCTGACCCATAAGTATGTTGCACACATATTTTGAACACTTTCCTCTTCAGAGTGGCATTTCACTCATTAGTATGATGCTTTCTTAGCCAAAATGACTCTAGTCAATCATGGTTTTATTTTTAATTTCAAGCATGATACTGTTGATATAATATAAAAGGCTTGTTAAAGATATTTTGTTAATAACTGATAGCTATTCTGCTTTTTCTCAATAAACATAAGAAATTTTTTTATTACTTTCCAATTATTTGATTTCCCTTTTCATGGAATAAGCATTAAACATGATCTATGTCATCTGAAAGTTTACAGCGAGATTTCCTTAATTACTATTTTATCTGTCAATCTATAGAGACATATTACAATTAAGAAAACTTTATTTTTAATTTTTATAGTTTCTTGTAATATTTTTTGAAAGTTAAAAGGATTTTACTATGAGAACTTTTAAAAATCTAACAAGTGAAGAAAAAAAGCTTGAGTAATGTAAAAAAAAAAAAAAAATTTAAATTGGGGTTGAGTTTATAAAGCTAAAATAGCAACATTAGTAAATACATCAGCTAAGAGGTAGTAATTTAGAAATTTACAAGTTTCATCATAAAAAAATTTAAAATCTCTGAGCCAGTCGGCATAAAATGTTATGCATTTAACAATATAAAAATTAAAAAAAACTATAAATAACAGTTTGAAAACAAGTTGGTAGCACCTAGAGGATCATTAGAAACAATCGAATGACTATAAAAATTTTTTTTAAAAGAGATGTTTAGACATCGTATAATTCTCTGGTTACAGGAGGATACAAAAACTTTTGCCTGATAGTGCAAGGAGTATGCTAAAATATATTATTTTTACTACAATCTTTAAAAATCAGCTACATAATTTTTTAAAAAAGCTTGGTGTAATTCTGCATAGAATTTCTCAACAAGTGAAAAATGTAAAAAACATAAGAATCTTTGAAATTGCAATATTTATATTAATGTTAGAAGCTATGTACAANAAGGCAAAAAGTTTTATTTACATGCTTTAAAAATGGTGAAAAGTTGCATTTTTTTAGCTTGCAATTTATTTTGAAAAAGTAGTGTCCGGTTTGGAGAGATAAAAAACAACGCTTTAGGACCAAAATGACTGTCCGCGTCCGGTTACAAGAGTGTCCGCTTTGCGGAGAATGTTCGTAATGGTTTATTCATAGGAGATTCCCGGGGAATTAAAAATATGTCCGTATTGAGAGGCGTCCGTTTTGCAGGAGTGTCCATAACAGGAGGTTTCACTGTATATATATAAAATTACATAAATTTAAAATTTTCTTCTTGTAATATGAAATTCTTTACCTTCATAACAATTGCTTCAATAGGCTCTGTTAAAGCTGGCTCTTCTAAGCTCCAGTGTTTCACAACTTTGTCATCACCAACCTAGAGAGAATATTCACTCAGTTGATATATTAATAAGCTCACAAACAAATGCATAGAAATATAATATAGTTCTTCCTCTAACATTTTAATGCTTAATAATAATTTATTAAAAATAATTTAATGTTACATTATAGTTTTATAAATTTTGATTTAATGATCATTAAGCTGAAACTATTCAGGTATTGCAACTAGCTAAAATAAATAAAACAACATTTTATCATTGAGTGGCTGTAAAATTAGTATTTAAGTTCATAGTTTTTAAGCTTGGTAATAAGCCAAATTTAACGTTTGGAGCATACAAATATAAGTTTAGATCAGGTCTGTCCAACTGGTGGCCCGCATGTGGCCCCTCAACACATATTGTGCAGCCCGCCAACTTCTTATTCAGCCTGATTGACCTCAGTTTTCCCATCAAAATGTACGCAAATTGTTTTATAATCCTTCTGTTCCATTGTTTCATGATTCAACTATTAATTGTTATTGTATAAGAGGTTAGAGGTTATTGTTCAACTTTTTCAAACTGCGGCCCGCCAGGTGACCAGTGACCGGAATTCTGGCCCATGGGCTCTTTGCAGTTGGACAGCCTTGGTCTAGATGATACTTCTTAGGAAATATATTTTGTAAGATAAAATAATTTAACTTGTGAACAAGTGCAAAAATAAAAAATTCAAATTTTAAAAGAAATTAAATTTTGTAAAATATGCATGCATAGTAAAATTTCCAATAAAATACATAAAAATTATTTCTTATAACATCTTTTTCCATAATATTCTTTTATTATCTTTTCTCAGATTAAGAATTATCATATCCTTCCCACTAAAACAAAATTCTTGCATTTATATGTATATTGACTAATATTGCATTTTAGCTTGATCCAAAATTTTAACTAGATAAAAAAATAAACAAATAAAAAAGGGATTAATAAATAACAGAAAACTTAAATATGTGGATGACAGTTTCAGACACGTATTTCACAATACAATAAGCATGAGTAGTAAAATTTCCATAAAATTTCATAAAAAAATGTGTTTACTTTTATTAAGTTTTCTCAGATTAAGGATTATCACATCCTACTGAAACGAAGTTCTTGCAATTAAATGCATATTGACAAATATTGCATTACGCATTTTGACTTCATACAAAATTCTAACTATGTAAAAAATTTTAAAAAAAGAAAAAGAAAAAAAAGAAAGGGAGTAATAAATAACAGAAAAATTGAATGTGTGGATGACAGCTACAGACAACTATTTGACTAATATTGTAGACTAATTTGCAATCTAAAAAATTCCTTCAAATGTTAGAAATTGGCTGACTATATTATAAAAGTCAAAAATATAAAAAGATCTAAGTTTGACACTGTAAAGAAAATTAAGAATTTTAAAACTATTTCGACAATTTTATTTAAAGAATTATTTTTTCATATTTGCACAGCATCAATTCTTTAACTGTTAACTTTTATATCAACTTTAAACTCATTTACAAAACTATTAATAAGACCATAACTTTAGTTTTAAATACTTTAAACATATTATTAAGATTAACTTACTGCTAAAATATTTATAAAATTTATTCCATATTGACAAGAAATTATTAGATCATAATAACAAATTTATGTCTCTACTTTGACCACAATTTTTTTTGTTGAAGATAAACCACACTTGCATTCAAATAGTTATTTTTTAACTATGGATACAACCAGCTTTTTGCTACTTAAAAGGTTATCTATTTATAGCTAAACTATATAACAATGAGCCATAAATAGTAAAGAGATAGAATTAAATTTTTTGACATTATTATTACATAAATTCAAGATATAATAAGTAAAATATGGATTAAATATATATAGTTAATTATAAGAATCTTTGCATCAAATATTTTAATACATTATTAACAATTATTTACTTACATAATCTTAATAAATTCAATTTAACTTGTATATCATTTCTACCATTAAATAAAAACAGGTTTATTTTTGTTTAAGTTTGGCTGATACAGCTAAGATTCATGTAAAAAATCAACACAATTATAATAAACTTTTTAGAAAACATTTAGTAATGAATAACAGATTGACACCTGTTACTATTGATTATATAATTTCACACTTATATCAAAAATTAAAACAGGTACAGGATTGATCGATAATCATATGAGAAATTTTTTTTAATATTTTATTACAAGATAAATCACAATTTCACATATATTTTAGCAAATGACTGATAATAGGAAAAATTAATAAGAAATAAAGTTATTGAAGAAAAACATAGTATTATTGCTATAAGGTTAAGGTAGATTATAACAATAATTTAAATCAATAAAAGTTAAACTCACGGACAATAAACGGCTGCCATCATTTGGCATGCAAAGACCTCGGACTATACCATCATGAGCTTGAACTGCTTTTAAACATTTCTGATTAGCTAAATTCCACATGCGAATCTATGATAAAAGTCATTTTCATTAGTTCATGCAGAACATTAAATAAGACTTTTTGACACAAAATGACTATTATCTAAAAATAATTGAACTGTATGCATTTTATGTAATACAAATCAAAACATTTTAGCTTTATACAAGCCTAATTTTTTAAATAATTTAATTAAAAATAAATTCTTATTAAACATTTTTTTAAAAAATAATATTACCCATTCAAAAATGTAATCATGTAAATAAAGAATAAAAATGCAAGTAAAATATGCGATAAAAGTAGACTCTTAATTTTTTTTTTCGATCATCAAAGGGAAAAAAAAAAGTTTTTTGGTAAAAGATATTTTGCATAAACCACTAACAAGGGAAACTAGGGAAGTGTGACTCGCCAATTTTGAAATAAACTAGTGGGATGCATGCCTTATGAGGAATAATTTTAGGGGGCAACATTCGTTTCGGCCCATAGAGAGTCCTATGAGAGATAAAAAATAATTAAGTATGTAGAAAAATCGGTATTTCATTACTTCAATGCAGACTATTAGTTATTGTAATTATCTCATACTCCAATTAATTTTGTGCTACTTTCACGTACTATATAATGCATATTTATTGTCAAAATTGATTTCGAAAATTTTNAAATATGAATACGGAAAATTTTGAAGTTTTTTTTCTTTATTTATAAAAAAGGACTCACAAATTAGTTGCGTATTCAATTTAACACAGCAAATAATGATTATATACCATGAAACAGTGACTGCAAGAAAGTAATTCACACAATAAGGATGTCAAACAAAGTTTAAATTGAATACACAAAGTTTTTTTTAACATTGAACTACTCTGAAATAAATAAATACAACATTTACTAATAAAAATGATGCATGTCATATGTTACTAAAATTAGCTTGAACAATTTAATATTTATAAATTAGTGAACAAATTAGAAGAGCTAACATGATTAGAGTATCAATATTCTATTCTGATCAGAGTTCGACAACATTAATAGAGTTTAGGCTAAGATATTGTTGTCTTGTTTGTAAAGGAGTTTTGAAGGTTAGTTAGTGCCAAAAATATTTCTTTAAGAGAAACTGTGCATTATAGCATTATATTAAGACTTACTTCTCCGTCATAAGCTCCAGAAAACAATAGAGATAGAGATGTTTGGTGTTTCAACATGCATTGAATACCATCATTATGACCGTCTAATGAATACATAAATGGTTTGGCTAACACCCTTTCTAACTTAATAGCATTTAAGGCTCTAGTATATTCTCTGGCAACATCAAAGGGATGAAGAGCTGGATCATAGTTTCGTTTAACTGAAATATAAAGTAATAATGTATCAAACTATGTATAGATAGAAAAAAAAATTGTTTTCTTAATTCAATACATCATAGAATTTATAAACTGTGTATAACATTTCTCAAATAGACTGCTTTATGCTTCTATAGTAAGATAAAAACATAAAGTATCTGCGCACACAATCCCAAAGTATCTGCAAGCTAATATTAGTATCTAATATTTCTGATATTAGAATAACTTTATTAAATATACGAAATCAGTTAACTTAATACTATTTTTATTTATTTTTGACAAATATCTATATATATATATACATGCACATTAATATTTATAGTTATACATAGAGCTAAATTCATAAAGTAATTATCATATTAAGTTATATTAGTAATTTTGCTCCACACAAAATCACATAAAAAGATTTCCTACTGTCACGCAATCGTCTATTTTTGCTGTAAAGGGATAGTCTAATTGAGTTGAGTTGTAAGATATCAGCTGGTTGAGGGCTCGACAGCTAATGATGGGATCACTATGTTTTGGACTAAAGTGGCAGTTATATCTTTTCTCTTTGGGAGCATCATGCATACAACTAAACACTGACTTTCTTCTACCATGCATAAATCATGATACCCTCCCCCTCTTACACACACTGCAAACTTTTTTTTTGCCCGCGCATATTCTTTTTTATATTAAAATAAATAATTCAAAAGTATCTGCAAAATCGGAGAATCAGCACCAATGTATCTGCGCATGGCGTGCATCTATATTTTCTAACTATGTATGCTTCATCAGATTTTTCCTACAAAGTAACATTCTAGGTTCAAATGTAGTTTTGGTAGTCTAGATTGTAATGTAGTTAAGCTGAATTGAATTTATATTTTACATACTATTAAATATAAATAAAAGTTTAGATATGAGGGATAACCATAACTGATTTCTTAGAAAGAATCTAATTTTTAATTTAACATTAATTAAATCATAGAAAAAGTCATTAATATTTACAATTGATTTGCTTTGCTTATCAAATTAAAAAAAGTTTTATAAACTTATTAACACATTAAACTTACTTTTATGAATATCATTTTTTGTCTCTCTTAAATAGTCGTCAGGGTTTCTTGATAGAATTTTCACCTTCATAATTTGTTTTCTTCAAATGAACAATAATATATCTGAAAAAAAAAATACATATAATTAAATTTCAGAATTTATTGACAGTTTAAATGTTCTTACAATCCCATCTTTCATAATCAAAATATTTTTTTACTCAAATATTTTGTTATCAATAAGTTAATTGCATAAATTATTCCTAAATATAACGCATTAATCAACACAATAATTTTCTTCACATCCTCAAGAATAAAAGACTTAAATATATATACATGAATCCATACAAGATTTAAAATTTTCAGTTGATATTTCTTAGCTGTTCCTCCCTGAATAGCCAAGAAAAAAAGAAAAGAAAAACATTATTTTAAGAAACATGCAAAATCAATTTTTCTACAATCTATTGTTATGTATATTCTATTCAAATTTTAAGTAACAACTGTCTATAAAATTACTATTTAGACAAAAAAAAATTGAAGTAAAAATTTAATAAAAAATTTTCTTTTCCACATTTATGATGAAAAGTGAAGTTACTAAATTCATTAAATATGTAATTAACAAAAGATGACAACGTAAGTATCAAAAGATTATGTACATTTTTCAGTTACTTAATTTTCAACTAAATTTCTAGGACATTGAGGAATGAATTGAATTTAATAACTCATTCTCTTTAAAAGCAATGAAAATCAAGAACGCAGCTAATGGCTTAAGGACTATATGCTTGGCATTTGTCTATAGTACTACTCTTCCTACAAGATAAATTTCAGCACAAAGGGTAGGGTGAAAACTTTATTTTCACATTGAAGAAAACGGTAAGTAAACAAAAGGGGATATTTCCATATCATGTTACTAAGACTTTACAATTTTTCTACCGCAGATCACGATGGAGAAATTTTCCCAAACAAACTTGGATTTTGAACAGAATATTCGTTTTTCAATAGTAATAAAATTATTGAATTAAACTTATATTTATAAAATCCAGATTATCAGCGACATTCACATAAAAAGTAAGCATAGTTTAGTTTTAGAATACTGAACTATGCATAATTTTGGAGTTTTTAAAACAAGATAATACAATACTTCCTTAATATTACAAATTATTCTATTTACAAAGATGCATTCACGTGTTTAGGGAAGAAAGATAAATGTAATACGATTGTAGCCATTTTTTATGTAAGAATACCTCATCAGCTGTAAGCAAAACTTCGAAGTGCTTTATTTTTATGAATTATGACTTTAAATTCCTAAATAAAAACAAACAAAGTCAACATGCTATCCCTTCTGCCAACGGGTACTTCAGCTCTCAGAATAAAAATATTTACAATTGATAGATTGATCAAAAATTCGCAGTTGGCAGACTACTTGCTTAGAGCTTCTATAGATATAACCTCAGTTTGAGGACAAATATTGGGACCATACTCACAATCTGTGAAAAATTCATCTATGTGAATAAAAAATCCAATGGAAAGCAAACTGGAGGGTTAAATGCATTTTATCAAACAGGTTCTCAGTCAGTTTTTGAATTTTCTAAACACAAATTAGAGCAGTTTCATTTGGATCATTAGTACCGTTTGCATCTTGAACTTATTAATCAATTTATCATAACTATCAACCTGCTATTTATTTATCTTCGGATTGATGTTTTCTCTGTTTCATCTGTAACAGCGAGTACTCTGTAACTGATTGTTATTTTAGAAATGAAGTGTGAATAAATTAAGGAATGACATGATTTTGTAATTCTATACTTGATAAATCTTTTGTTTTCAGATTGATGAAAATGTCTAATAGATTGTTAAGAACACGAGTTTTATTTACAATTTTTACCAAACGACGAATTCATAATGGGGGTAATTTATCTTCTTTTATCATTATGAAAATTAAGAGAATTGACATTACAATAATTTCGAATCTGGCGAAATTGTTGCAGTTCTTATAATATCTTTACTGTTAAATGAAAAGATTACAGGGTATAACAAATAGGTTTGAGCGAAGCACTGGGTCCCCTTAAATCTGTCATTGTACATAAAATCTTCAATTTTTTTATCATATCTAGGTCGATTTCTCCTTATTGAAAAATCCCACTTTTAATTTATATTAGTTGTCTTATGTAAGAACATATTTTATCTTTAAGAAATTTCTTATTTGTTACTTAGCTAATCAAATTTTATTTAAATTTTTATTTTTTTAATATTATTTTAGCCATTTAATCTCATGAATTTCTTTAAAAAAATTTTAAAACAATATTTCTTACCTTTTCTGAAGAAATTAATTATAAAATTTTTGTTAAATAGATCTTACATTAATTTATGTAGAACTCTATCTGTTGCATAAATTGTAATTATAAAATGTTTGTATATGGAATGTCAATTAAATTTAATTATATTATAGACACCTTAAGTTTTTTTTCTTGTACTAATTATTGTTTTTTCTATAATATGTTTAGATATTTTAATTAGAAAACTTTAATAAGACTAGATAAAAATAAATTTAGAGTTTTTAAAATTAAATATCCTTCTCCCTTAAATACCCAATGAATGTATATGAAAGTAAATATTAAAAAAAAAATGAAAATAGTGTATGCACATTAAAAGCACAATAAGATAGTTCTATTTCATCCCATGTTCACATTAACTCAAGTTTCCCAATCAAATTTTTAATCAGCTTTAAATACACAATTCAACTTATTTTTTAATGCATATTGAGTATTTAATGTAGTTTATAATTTATTTTTAAACCCCTTTAAATAATTTCCTTATGCACTGTTTGTTGGTATAAATTTGTGTAAATATTAAATGAACTCTTATGTGATATAATGCCCTTCATACCTACAACATTCCTATATTTAATAATGTCTATTCAGAAGATTGAACTGTATTGTATACTTACATTTTTCTCATTTTCAGTGAATCGGAAATGGAACTATGATTTACTTGTCATAGGTGGAGGATCTGGTGGCTTAGCTTGTGCTAAAGAAGGTAAAAGAGTCTATCATTGTTATTCAGTTGTATATTTTCATTAAATTCAGTTTATTGATTTTATCAATAAAACTTGCTTTTCTCTAATTTATAGGAGCAATATTAGGGAAAAAAGTTGCAGTATTGGATTATGTGGATCCATCTATAAGAGGTAAATTATATTTCTTCTACATTAAACCTCTAGTTTATATATATATATATATATAAATA